AGCAGTCTTGTTAAGATTATCTCTTTCGTTTGACACAGCCACGAAAAACTACAGTACGATGCATACCATATATAAAATATGGCGTGCGGTACAAGAAGTCTTGTTAAGATTATCTCTTTCGTTTGAAACAGCCACGAAAAACTACAGTACGATGCATACCATATATCCTTGAAAAACTTTGTAAGAATTCCACGAATTTGCACAAATTATTAGTTCAGTAGACCGTAGACCTACAAAACTTTGCGCTAACTCGTACAATTGTTATAGTTTAGTAAGTTAGTATTCTTATAACCCGTTTTGATTCCGCCCTTTCATCGTTTTTAGGTTTGAACTTCTGCAGTTAAAAAATGCGATTTCGGAGTAATTTTTATCAAGCTTCTCGTCAGCGATAGCCAGCTTGACGGAGCTAAGTCTTTAGTAAAAGAGTCTGTGTTCTTACTGTTGTCAGTCTTTCAAGTGCTGCGAATCTGTCTTCTTGTACAGTGAGTAGCTTCTCTAGATTAGAGTGTTTCTCCAAGAGTTTTTCCACCTCTGCAATATCGACCTATAAATGAACCACAAAATGTAAGTAAAATAATTTCTATGCTGAAAAAAATGACAAATTTCAAGGCTGCAATTTTGCTTTATGACTGGAGAGAACAAAAATTCGCTAGATTCTGCCCAAAGTGAATGGTAGAAAAGAACAATGGATAAATGAAATATCGTTTTACTTACACCAAGATTCTCGTTTTTGAGGTATGATTCTTGTGATATCAACCAGCCTTCTGCTAAATGAGCATCGCGAGCGAACTGCATGACCTCGAGAACTGGAAACGAGAAAAAATGAAACCAAACATTAGAACGAAATCTGAGGGAAAGCTTTCTTGGTAGTGGTCTGGGTTTGGAGAAAATGAGGAAAAATGAGGTCACAAAATCTTTGACCCCGTCCTTTTCATGCTAGGGCTGAATTTTTTGGTGTCGCATTGGGGAGAAAACCGTCTCTAGAACCAGGGTCGGATCACCCTGCCTTTTATTCACATGGGAGTTCCTCTCCTTGGTTAAGCCAAGGAAAGACCCTTCAAATCTGAGCAGCATTAGTAGAAAACTTTTAAATCACCAAACTTGCTCAAATTCTGGCTCGATAATTTTTTTCCGTTCAAAACTCGGATTAAAATAGATGTGCACTTCCGGTTACGACGGCTTTCCGAGGGGAATAGCGCGAAGGAAACAAGAAGGCGAGCGATCTGTCGAAAGCCATTGTAACTGGAAGTGCACTATTTGAATCCGAGCGAACGGGGAAGAATTGACTAGCGATACTTGGAGCAAGTCAATTGAATCATTGAATAGGGCAATTCCTTTATTCCTTTTTTGTCAATACCAGCAGTTGCAGCCCGAACACGAGGATTAAAATGAACAAAAACATACTCAATCCAAGGTGCTCCCATCTCTTGTCCCATTCAAGAAGCATCTCGTCACGATGTCTGTTCAACATGTTGATTTTCTCACGAATCTGTTCAAGATAAACAAGACAAAAAGTAAGCATATAACAGTAAATATTCTTCTTGGAATAGCCTATCCTCAGCTGTTTTAAACAGACGGGGTATTTTTATTGTTTCAAAGCGAAAGTGCTGCTGGTTTTCATGGCTGCCATATTGGATTATTTAAAAAAAAATCTATGGTTACTTTTGGCAATGCCAACCAAAATGGCCTACACATTTTTCATTGTTATATAATTCGTTTGGGATTAACTGTTAACCAAGAATTAATTCTTTCGCAAGAATTTTGTGACAAGAGGAGAAATGTTGAAGACAGGAATGGAAAGTTTTGCAAGTGTTCACCTCGTTAGAAGCATAGTGGTTCTTGGCCAGAAGTTCCTCTCCCATCTTGATGACACCAACGAAGCTTTCTTCTCGTCCATCGATTTCTCCCTTGCGTCCCTGGTGTTGGTCCATGAGTACTTCTACTCCAGACACGTCCCTTGTTGATTCGAAGTAAAAAAACATTAGCTGGGCGTAAATAGAAGATTCTTTAGATCCGACCTGTGTTATAGAGTGAAGTCACTAAACCCGTGAAATAGATATTGTGCCTAGTTGACTATTACACGTTGACTAGTATTTTTATTCCAAAGGTTAAATGCCTTCACTCTAGTATAATTGGAGCAAAATCCCGACACGAAAATAACAGCAATAGAATTGTCGTCGTTATTAACATCACCACTACCACTTCCACGACAACTTCATTGACGTAAAGGAACAACGCCAATAAGATCACAAACAAATATATCTTCACCAAAACAACCAAAGCAAGGAATTGTCAGAGGCAATAAAGACAACAAGTTCTACATCTTACTTGGCTTTTTCGTAGGTGAGAATATGTTTCAACATATCATTCATCCACAACATCTGGTCCTGTACAGCCATCAAGAAGCGATACCAATCATCTGCATCGTGAAGCTTCTCCATCCTACGACGGATGCAGAGATGAAGGTTCTTCCATGCTTGTACCACCTCGTCTTCTGCATCCTGGATACTCTTGGCCTTGCCCCCGGCATATGATCCCAACAGGCGACTAGCCTCTTCCTGGACAGCAGACACCTACCAACAAGCAAAACGAAGAGTTTTCAACATTTTAAATACAAATAGGCCACGTTTGAGATATTAAAATTCTAGCACTTTTCAAGATATCGAACGTAGCCCATTATACCTCGTTGCCAATGGGTGCAAGGTCTGCCTCGAAGTTCTGGAGGTTTCTTTTCAATCGACGCACGCTGCTTTGATCGCGTCCAAGATCTTCAGTCAGGAGGTTCTGCTTGGTGTAAATCACTGCCAACACTTCTTTGCAGTCGTGGAAGTACTTGTGAAGCTCACGAGCAGCTTCTAGCATCTGAATGAATCGACAAAAAAATATGAATTCAAGTTAGAATTTCTCGAAGGTAAAACTAGCAATTGAATTTGAGGAAGTCACTGTCGAGATGTCAAGAAATTGTGCCATATTCGTTCGGGGGGGGGGGGGGGGGGGGGGGCGGTTTGTGTATGGGCCTCTTTTGCGGTCGAAGCAAGGTGGGAAAGAAAGTAATCAAGATTGACGAAGATCTATTTTATATTCTTGGAACCTTGAGGTGGATAGTCGTGTTATCCTACCTTTGTTCTGGTTTCGATCAGTTCCAGTAGATCTGCCCATGACTCGTTTATTCCATCTTTCCATTCAGCAATAGTAGCGGCATCGGAGTGTCCTGTGCCAATCAGCTGGTCGCACACAGCATTTGTCTTGGCTACTCGCTCGGTCCCAACATTAGTGGTGTCATGTGCAAAGTCACGGAACTTTTCTATCAAAAGCTGAAGGAAAAAATCGCAAAGTTTAGTTGAACGCACTGGTAAGTAATTTATAAATCACAAAAGTGAAAACCTTAGGAATATTTTAAAGGTTAAATGCCGGTTAGATTCAGAAATATTTCCGCAGTGTAACATATAAATTAAATCGTTCCTTTTGGTGCATTTAGAGTTGTTACATGAACATTTTTCGAATCTGAAGTTCCTTCAGCTAGCCGTTAAACTATTTTAGTACAGAGAATAAGAGAAAAATATCAAATGCCCTTGGCATTTTAGTACACATGAAAAATCACTACGTCTTTACAGTGCTTGAAGTTATTCACGCGATTCACTCAAAAAGAAAATAAAGAGTATCGCAAAGGTGATCGTTTACCTCGCACTGAGCAAGATCCTGGCCAACGTCCTGTGATTTGGCGATCACTTCCTTATCAGCTATCCACAGTTCAAGGTCATCTACTTCACGATTAAGTTGGTATAGCTTGAGCGTTTCGTCAAGTTTGCCGCGTCTCTCTTCGCCCAAGTCCTTCAGACCTGCGTAGAGCTTTTCTACTTGAGCTTGACGAATCTTGATTGTCTCACTATAAATAAGTAAAATAGAAAGAAGTCAATCATCTTTCTTTCGTCTTCAGATTCCCGCAAACTCTTTTATTTTCAGTTGTTCTTTTGTATTGAGAAAGAGTTGGAAGTTTATCACAAGCTCTTTAACTGTAAGCTGTTGAGGTATACACCTCTTATCTTTATTCCCCTTTGCGTCTTTACTAACCTCTCTGGATGATTGCTTTCAATCAAGTTGTCAGCCTGGTTGCGGAGGTCATCCACTGTTTCAGCATAATCAGCAATGGCAGCTTCCAAGGTTTCGTGTCTCTTCAACATCTCACTGGCACTGGCTTCGTCTTTTCCTCGCTCGTCTCCTATCATGTTCAGTTCCTGTTCGCTCATCCATGCTTCAGCTTCGGCAGCATCATAGTAGTACTGTGTGTAAATGTTAATGTATGTTAGTAACTGTAGTCAACCACGGAAGATGTTCGCTGTGAATACCCAGCGTTGGAGTGACTGGGTCAACCAACGAACATTGTGTCTACTGATCAAACACAGAGTACGCGCTCTCAACAAGCGTAAATCAAAGAACTCGAAAACAGAAGAACTAGAACAAGTGTGTCAACCACGGAAGATGTGCGCTTTGAATACCCGGTGTTAGAGTGAGCCACGAACATGGTGTTTACTGCGTCGAACACATAGACTGCAGGCGCTCTCTTGACAAATGCATCACGTCATAGTAAAAAAAAAGCTGGTCTAACCTGCTTAGCCTGTAACGACAAGTCAAGCTGAGCCTTGTAGGCATCAGACTGTGCCTTCAATTCATCCCATCTCTGCTGCAAGGCTTCCTTGCGTCTCAGGATATCATCAGACTGAGGATGATCACCATCAACCAAATCGTCTCCCTGGTTGCAGATGCGGTCTTTGTGAGCTTGGTGGATGTCGATCTCTGCGCACAGTGTTTGGTGCTTTTTCTGGAGTTTCTGGACCTCAAACAAGTTGTTGCCGTAGTTGGTTGACTGGAGCATTGGTTCTTTCTCTTCGATCCAGGACTAAATACAAAATAAACTGTTAGAAAACGTTTTTTTCATCTTTCCACGGTGTATAATTTACCATTTTATCATTACTGCTTCTTTTTTTAGAAAGGTAACATCATCTCCGGCAATCCCTTCTAATTCACGCCCAAGGAATTTAACTATATATTTGGAGTTGAAAAGAAAAATACCTTTTCATCATCAACATCTCTGTCAAATTGGAAGAATTGCATGGCAAGATCAAGTTCCACAGCCTTTTCTGCCATTGGAGCCTCTAGTGCTTCATATCTGAAGACACAAGACACGACAGCGTTAGTAACTACTTCTGATTAGAAATCCCATTAAGACTGTAACCACTACTTACTTCTCTTCTAGAATTACTTTGGTTTCTTGTACAGCTTTGGGGTCAAAGTGTCCAGCATCAACCATATCGGCTGCCTGCGAATCCAGCTCCTGAAGACGTGCTTTCTTGGCTGCGATTTGTTTTTCCATCATCTGAAAGTGAGTATATAAGTTATAGTTGGTACTTTTTCTTAGATATAGTAATTGCGACCCTGCCAAAAAGCTATTATGTCACTTTTGGAAGACTTTGATCTTTGAATGCCAGGCCGTTTTTGTTTGTTTTTTTTCTTCATATTTTTTCCATAGCAAAGCTACTTCAAGATTCACTCTAAGACTTAACATAAGGCGATTACCTTGTGTTTTTGGTAGAGCCTGGTAGCTGTAGTCAAATCAGTTGCCTTCTCTTGGGTGATGATAGTTGTTTCCAGTTCCTTCACCCATTCTCCCATCGTCTGCACGCCTTGGTTAAGCTCCTCTTGCTTGACAGCTTCTTCCAGCTTGTTGCCCTTGTTTTTCGACACCTCAGCCAGTTCAAGCCATTTTTGGTTCAGTTTTTCCAGTCGTTCGTCAATCTCTGGCTTGCTTTCTGGTTTCTCTTGGGCTATTTCGAGTCCAGACTACGAACGTAAAATACCACAACGGTGAGACTTGTTTACAGCAAATCTGAAGGTTGTGTATTGTTATGTACCACGAATGAGTCATTGAAAAGAGGTGAGAGGGTGACACGTGACAGTAAGAACTGATTAACCTGTGTGCCCACTATTTTTAACGTATATGAACGAGATGGGCCCGCCATTTTACGTGGTCATCCAAGCCACGGCTAAGGTCTAACCATTTGCAGACATTTTAAAGACAAAAGCAGTTCCTTCTACTCAGATATTTGAAGACCCTGAGTGTTGGTCCGACCGAGTCTTGAACCGACGACTTAACGGACAATAATCCTTTGCCCAACCAACTAAACTAACTGGAAGGCGGATTTTTTTACTTAGTCAAATATTTATCTCTCTTAAGCCAGCTTCTCTCGTCTTCTACAGCTCCCAATACCTTGAAAGCTTACCTCACTGATTTGATCAAGGCGTTCTTTATTGGCCATCAGTTCGGCTTCAAATGCCTTATGCTTCATGACTTTACCGCCAATATTACTGAGCTCCCTGTATGTCTCTTCAGATGCTACTTGGTGTTTCTCCTTCAACCAATCATACATCTGTTGAAGTAGGAGAAMAATGTCAAGTGACGAAACATTATTAGTGGTTTGATAGAAATAGAGAATTTTTCGTACGAGTGGGAAATGATAAGGCAAATTCGTAGCCGTACTTCATAAACGTTCCGTATTTTTACTGCAGCTGTAACAAGGCGTTGTGTTTGGATGAATTAATGGAGGACAATGGGATGCCTTTTCGGTATTACAGCAAGTCAGTATCCTTTGCTTCCCACTTATACGAAAACTTCTTTTGTTTTGTCTTTCTGTCGTTTATTTTTTCAAAATATTGTCAACTGTCTCACATCGGATGATGCTATCTTACCAATTCAATTTTTGAAGACATTTCTTATAACAATGAATAAAAAAGAAACAAAAAGAATGAATGAAAAGTGAACAACATACGTCCTCAGCATCTTGGATGAACTGCTGTAGAGCCAAAGCATCCCTCAGCCTTTGCAGAGCAGCCTCCATCTTCTGTCGATTAGCATTACGCCTGTCATGTAGACTCTGAGCTTTTTCAGTGATCTTGTCCTGAGCGTAGTGTCCCTCGTTGGCCAGGCGCTGTGCAAACTGGATCATCTGGTTGATCTTCTCATCTTGGGCATCCATTTTCTTGGTGAATTCTTCATGCTTTTTGATTAGCTCTTGTACAGCTTCTACTGTAGCCTGCACACAAACAAAAAATTGATCTTGACATTCATCCCAGCAAATGGATTGGTAAATTCACAGTTCCAACTCAGATAATAGCGAACCAATCCCCGTTGCAGCATTTTTCCCAGTGGAATTAAGACCTTGTCCCACAAACAACTATACAGTATCTGCTTTAAAAGAGTACTACAAGGATTAAGAGGCAATATTTATTTATTTTTCTCAGGAAGTGAAACAATTGAAGCAATTTATGATTTATTTTACGCAATGCGGCAGTGTTTTAAATTCTGACATTCTAGCTAATTTGTTGAGCTTGTGGGACATAACAACGGTAACTAAGGGGAGTTGGAACTATGAATACAAGCTAGGGATCTCAGTACTTGTATTAGAAAATTCTATTTTTTACGATGCATAACAAAAGCAAAGAATTTATAGTTTAAGGATAAAAATACGTACCCCAACTTCTTCTTTGGAAAGGAAAAGTTCCTGTTGACCAAGAAGGGCTTCACATTGCTTGGCATCACGGATAAATAGCTATAGAAAGAGAAGACATGCATTAGCATCACACAATTATACAGACCAATGAAATATTACAAACCCTGCATTCTGAATGGAAAACTAAACCAAGGAAAGGGATTTTCCTTGTTTTTTGGGAAGATTTTCAAAACATTTTGTAGCAAAGGATAAACTAATATTGTGTGTTGTCAAGCTTCTTAAATTTTCCAAGAGTTGTAAGACATTATCCCGAAAGCATCAAGAAACGAAATTTCTTAAATTAAATTCCCACAAACTAATTTTCAACTAAAGGTTTCAGTCGTACCTGATGGTTAAGTGCTTCGATAAGCTGTCTCTTTCTCTTGTCCCACAGAACAAGCAGGTCTTTCCAGCTACCTTCCAGTTGTTCGAGCTGCTCCTTGAGTGACTGTTGTTGTAAATCAGTGTCATCTTGTACCCATTTAGGTCCTTCTTCCATCAGCTTGTGGAAGTCTGGTTCATGAGCATCAACGTCATCCTGAAGGAAAGATACTTTAGTGAGAAAACAGTTGCAATACGTTTGTAAGTAATGAAAGCAGGAAGAAGAGAAATTAAGGAAAGATTGGTTCGTGAACATCAGGGTCATCATAAAGGAAAGGTACTTTATTGAGAAAACAGTTGCAATACGCTTGTTAGAAACGAAAGTATTAAAAAAGTGTAATCGGAAGAAACGAAATTTAGGAATAAGAAGAATCATGTGAAAAGAATATAATAAAAAAAAGAAAAAAAATAGGAGAAAAGAAACGAAAAGAAGAGATACGAAAGGAGGGGAAGAAAAGAAAAGACAGTATCACCAAGTCTAGCATCGACGTACCTTGATATCCTCGTGCTCTTTCAACATTCTCTCAGCTTCAGTCAGACTAAGAGGGATTTCTTCAGATGCAACTTCATTGTGGACATGCTTCAGCCTGAGCAAAAATACAGATTTACAAGCATGTAACAAAACGACAAGCCTAGCTTAATAACGTAGAAATGTCACTAGTTGAATGCTTACCAGACTTGGAAGTCATCAAGGTCCTTGACAAATCTCTGTAATTCACCAGATTCGGCCAGAGCTTCATCACGTTGCTTAACCTGGTCAAAGAAAACAAACTTGAACATTAGAAACTGCTATCAAATATAACTAGCAATAGACTTGTAAAGCTGCAGTGACATTTTGTTAGAACATCTGACATCAGGGGGAATGTCTAGTCAACAATACATTGATGATACAGTAGTAAGACTTAGTAAGACTGCAAGGTCTAAAGTACGATGTAAAGAAAACGTTTCAATTTGCACATATTTTGAAAGACGTTTACAAATGAATGTAAGAAACTTTGACAAATATCCATATGGCTAATTGGAGTCGTGGGTTTTATGTAAGAAACTTCAAGTTTACTAATATAAGTATCGCAGGTTTGACTGTAAACTCTCCTTCAGGTGAAACTACAGTAAAAACCTGTACAAAAGAACCCGTGGATTAAGAGCTGAAATTTAGGCACCCAAAATGATAAGAACCACTCCAGCCTGAGAAATAAGACATGTACGAAGCGTGTTCAAGGGGCATTGGAAAGATTGTTTATTCTGAACAAAAGACTCTCCAGGGTCAATAGCTTACTTATTAAAAAACAATGAAATTAAAGACACCTTATCAGGAACAATTGTTTTTGGCTTGTAAATAAGGACCTGTTAGGAACCTACTCAGCATGATTTGGGAAAATAGTGGTTCTTTTGTGCGCGTTTGTACTGAATTTCACTACCTTAAGAAACATGTTTTGAGTTAATAACGAATCATAATTACATTTGTTTTGAGTTCAGTCCAGGCAGAATTGACCACATTCATTTTCTCACGGACGATTCGTTCCTCTGGTTCCTGTAAAACAATATAACAAACAAGCCATTATGAACATCGATCTTTCACATAAAAACAAGTGTGCATCAGATGCAAATAATTCTGATACACAAAGACTTCTTGACTCATGTAAAGTATTTGGAAGCATGGGTTGCGCAGCAGTGAGAGACAACCCTGTTTAGATTCTCGAACTCGGTGTTGTGTGTGAGTAGAGTTGTATGTTGGTTCTCTCCTGTGCTTCAATGGTTTTTCTTCCAGTTTTCCAGTTTTCCTCCCTCCACAAAAATTAACTTTTAAATTTCAATTTTGTCATGGAACAAGGGCAACAGGTTTGTTAGCCACTGGCTATTGAGTGGTTCCTCATGAATGTTTTTACTTACTCCATCATACTCAGAACACAGCTGTTCTGCGTCTTCTTCCAAACTGGTGCACTATAAACGAACAAGAATATCATGCATGTTAGTTTAATATATATATATATTTACATATTATATGACACATTCTTTAAAGAAATGAAGAATTATAAATATCTTATCCTAAAGGTTTAACAAAGTTCTACTTGTAAGGGATTCCAGTGGTGTAAACGTATTACATCTTTACTCTCCATAAGTGGCAAATTTTAAGGGTATTATTGAAACAAGTTGAAACAAGTGTGTAAGATCACTAGTTATATAAACCAGACCTCTTGGCCTCAAATCTCCAAACTTTACCAATACCCTGTTTTCTTATTGTCAGCAAATTTATCATTATGTTTGGTTCCAGCAAGTTTAATAATACGGAAGTTTGGCAATTCAATACTAATACTTTTAACACTGATATACATAGATGTTATGATGTTACCTTATCATCCAAGGCTGCCATGTCTCTCTGGATGTTATTCAACCTTCTCTGCAGCACCATGACGGTGGATAGATCCTTCATGTTTGTTACATCTTCCTCCGTAATCAACAGGCTAGACTTCTCACTGATCCAGATCTATACAACAACAAAGTATAATTTATTAATATCTTTATCGAGAGACTGCACATAGTTCAAGAATAAGGATGGCTTCTTGGAGTTTACATTAGAGTTGCTACATAGATTCAAAGAAGCTTATTAATTGGAATTTGTCAACAAAATCTCCCTTCATTACCTATTATGTTTTGCTATGAGCTATACTTTTTTTTCTTGTAATTCATGTGTTGCCATAGCTGCCATTTTGTCTTAATTGTAACCAAAAGATTTAACCTTGGTTTCTTTTGTTACAATTGACCTCACAGTCATTTTCATTGTCTTTTTATTCTCAAGGGAACACAAAAGTCAAGATTCAAAAAATTTACCACATTTTAAATTATTTTGTCCTATTTGTCCTCTCCTAAAATTAAAAAAAGCAAAGTCAAGCACTTAAGTACCTTGGTTTCAGTGGTCTCAGCATAGAATTGCTGCAGTTTAAGAGCCTTGTCAAGTTTAGCTTTCTTCTTATCCGCTGCATTGCGAAGGTTAGACCACCTGGGAGAAATTAGAAAGATATTATTAGCACCATAAAAAACATGTATTATGTGCAGAAATGTTGTTCAGTGGGCTCCACTGCCACGTGATATAATGTACTTGGTATGAATGGCATTTAACTTGAATGCCTGTCCAATTATAGGACAACAAGAATGTAAACTATCCAATCAGAGTGCTACGATGTGACTCTCAAAATTTTAATGGCTTTCTTCCTGAACCAATAAAAATGCCACAACCATAACAACTATATCATCCAATAAGAGTGCTTCAGTATGTGACATTCAAATGGGCCCTTTCTTCCTGAACCAATGAAATGCCACAACCATATCATCCAATCAGATTGCTACAGTAAGTAAGATATCAAAATCCATTTACTGTATGTTTTTATGGCTTATCTTACCTGGTGTTCAGTCTGTCTGTTGTTTCTTTTATTTCATCAGAGTTGATGTGACCAGTGTCAATCAATTTGCTACCAAGATCATTGACCAGATCAACACGCTTCTCATTGGCATCCAATTCCTGGAACAGGATAAAACAAACAGCGATCAGAGATACTTCTAACCCACTCAAACCCTAGTACTATAAGTACTAAAGTACAAGTACAGAGCTTTGTGAGGTGGCATTTTTTGTGATACATGTATTAAAATAAGCAGTGCTTAACACTATCTCTGGTCCACTAGTTTTGGACTAGTAAATCTCTGCTCTGGTCTTAATAGCTTGTTCCTAGTATCTAAATACTTAGTGCCAGTAAGTAAAAAGTCTGTCTACTAACCTGTTGAAATCCTTCAAATCTTTGTTGAATAATCTGGCATTCTTCCAAGTCCATGCTTTTGTCAACTGTCAGGGCTGTATCAAGGCGATTTTCCTAATGAAGCAACAAAACACTGTGTTTAAATATCTAGACTTTATGGATGTTAAATTCATACTTGTTTGAAAATACCTTTTCATCGATCCATGTTTCTACAATGTTGGCCTCCCTGTTGAGTTGATGGAGTGACAAGGCATCTTGAAGCTTCTGACGACGAGTGGCTGCCAACTGAACAACCTCCTCATACTGCTCATCAACACTAAAGAGAAAAACTTTCCATTAAAACTTGCTTTGTGGTATCCCAATTCTGAACTCTTCATTCTCAAGGGTTTTATTTTATATCATGTTTCATGAAATTCCAAAATGTCTTTGTCTTAAAGTTGTGCATTCTTGACACTTTAGTTGGGATTTACAAGTGGATTGCACTAAATGAGGTTTTCAAGTGCAAATGCAAGGCTGAAGTCAAATGTAAAACATGCTGATTATATTATATTCATAGGGCTCTATAAAAACTTATCATTACTATTATAAAGAAACAAAGTTTTTATTCATTTGAAGGAAGCTATAGTAATGTCATTATCTCAATTCCTTACTTGTTGCATCTTTCGGCTACTTGAGGAGATGATTTATCCTGGAATTAACAAAATCATATTAGGCTTAAAACAAAATAATTGGTTGTTTCAATTGTAATGTTAACATTAATATGACTCCTCTTTTAAAACGTGCTGCATATAAGGATACGTACCTCATCACCAAGCCCATCTACTTGGCTGTGTAAAGCATTGATTTCTGAAGCATAGGCCTCGATGTTTTCCTCAACGGCCTATCGTTGCCAAAGAAAGGTATATTAATATTTGTACATTCAAATAATAATAGTATAATTGAGCTGGAATATTAACTTTAGCTGGAGAATGGAGTGAATAAGGCCGAAAGCAAAACAATCTATACCAGCAAACAGCCATACGATCTACACAAGGTACCCTCCACAATTCATTAAAGGCAATGTTACATGAGACGATAGGCAATATTTACTTAAAGCACAACGCTATTGCGCAAATAGGTTAATGCCATGCAACATGCAAGATAGATCGATTTTTAGCATTATTTCAACTTGGACAACACATTGGAGTTTTTGATCTGATGTCAAACCCTTGCAACTCCAAATAAATTTTTTTTGTAGAGTTTTGTAAAAAATCCTTGTTGCAAATTGTCTCATGTAACATTGCCTTTAGACTCTGGATCCAAAAACATGATTGTTACAACTGTAAATTCCTGTCATCGTACCTGGTGTTTTTTGATGAGTGCTTCAGTACTGTGCTCATCATAACCCATATCGTCATTAGTTACCACTCTCTTTGTCATAAGTAGCCAGGATGTGATGTCATTGTATTCAGCAATAAACTGCTGAAGCTTCACATTCTCCTTGATTTTCTTTTTTCGGTAGGCAGAGTTATCATGCAGTCTTTCCCACTTATTCTTGATGATGTCCAACCTGTTCTGGATTGTGTCTGCTGCATATGGAACAGACTCTAATAGGTCTTCTCCCTTTCTTGTTATTGCTCTGGTTTGTCCATCACGACCAGCCATTTCACGTTCAACAGCCTAAAAAGACAGAAAACAAGTTCTTTAAGCACATCCTTAACATGCAGTTTGTTTTCCATAGTTCCTGCCAAACTGGAAATATTTTAGTGAATTATTTCAATGAAATAATTTAAAACCTACCTCATGTTTAGCGAGCAAGATCATAGCAGTATTAAGGTCATGTCCATAGTCAGTAGACTGTACAAAGTAGTCTTTCTCTGTCACCCACATCTCTTCTTCATCTGCATCACGATAGAAGCTTTGCAATTTGAGTGACTCCTCGAGTCTTGCACGGCGAACAGCTGCCAGTTGAACCAGTTCCTTGTAAGCTCCATCTACTTCTGCTTGGTGCTCTCTGATTTGGTTCTCGTCTGGCTTGTTCTCTGAACATCATAGAAAAATAATTTTAGAAAATACTGATAACTTTTGGCACTGGCATCAATAGAATTATAACTAACTAGACTTTTTTATACAAGTTTATAGTTAGCCTTATTTAAGGGTAGAATCTTCACCAAAATCCACTGAGATATAGAAAAAAAATTCAACCTCAACAATACCAATGTTTTAAGATTCTATGTACTTTTAATGTTATCTACAAAAATGCTAATTTATAAACAAGGCTAAAGCTGTACAAATACGTCTATGGTCAGTGACCTAATATTACATTATTATTGAATAAAATTGGACTATTCCCTTATCAATTTGTAAAGTACTGAGCTACATTTAGTGCAGTGATACATACCATCTGACATATCAGCATGGAGGAAAGCCTCAGCTTGATTGTTGACCAGTTGTACTCTTTCTGCAGTAGCAGCGATGTCTGCTTCAACAAGGCTGTGCTTTTGAAGTAAGTCTTCAACACCAAGAAGATGCTTACCATAGTCTTCAGACAAAAGGCCAACCTGGTGAAAGAAATCAGACAAATGGCTTACAGAACATCCAGGAATCAAGGCTGTTGCAGTGGTATTTTGATGGATTCCTGGACTTGGCATGACATGTGTGTTGAGTTTCTTGTTCGATTGTCTTGGCAATGCATTTGAGAAGATGTTGGGTCTTTCTCTTGATTTGAGGCTTTGCTCTTGCAACTACTTTTTGGGCACTTAACACAGTTTTCCATATTCTGTGAACTCGTTAGTTGCAAAATACATGCTGAAATTTGATTTTTCACTGCCGTCAATTAAGAATAATCAGTTGATACCTTTTATATTCTTGACTGACGGCAGTGAAAAACCAATTTTACAACAAGCAGTAGAAATGTTGGAGTTTGCAGAATATCTAAAACCCCAGTAAGGCTTATTACTTGGTAACGACTAAAATATTTAATGGCAATTGAAAGCCTTACCTTGATTTCATCCATCCAGTCAATAATGTTGATCATTTCCTGGAATACTCTCTGGAGATGCATGCATTTTTCCAGGCGTGCACGTCTTTGTTTAAGGAGTACCAGCAGTAACTCCCAGAGCTCAATAATTTTCATTTTACTGAAATAAAAAACAGCATTTTTATTTTTCTGAAACCTCCAACGTCTAGAACAGTGAAAATTTTGATTCTGTTAACCCAGACTATTTGGGTTGCAGTAGTTTAAAACTTGAGAGGAAATAAAAATATATAGTCACATATCTTATCCTGAAACCTATTGCTTACCCAGTTTCAATTCTATCCTTATCATGGTAGTTTTCTTTGATCAGTTCATCGGCAACAGCTACAAGAGTGTTGACACGTTCTTCATATGCCTGGGGAAAAACAAGTAACTTACATGAATACAATCTGAAGGACCTCTTACATCTGGGGTCTTGGTTTAGGTTCCTGGACTTTTCATCACAGAACTTGTTTGTTTTATCTCTAAATTTGAGGGGCTTTTTCCAGCTTTGAGCAAAAATTCAAGTAGTATTAGTCAAGAGGTTTTTTTGGGGGTTTAAATCATGTGGTTCAAGTAAGGGGAGGGGAAAAGTCACACCCATCCTTGTACAGCCACACCCATGCCAGTATGTCACACCCATTTTCATACCACAACCATGTTCATATCACACCCATTGCCATATCACACCCATGGATGGCCATACCACAACCATGGTCATACCACACCCATGGCCATACCATAACCATGGTCGTTGTTTTCTCTACTCACCATGATATCAGTTTCAATGGCTTCATGCTTCTTTGTTGCTGCTTCAACTGCCGCCAGATCATTACCAAAGCTATCAATGGAAACAAGACGCTGGTTTTCGTTGAGCCAAGTTTCACGCATGGCATACTGTGGAAAGAAAGTCATATTTTAGGACTCACTCTGACATAATTCCCTTACATATTCATTTTTTTCATCAATTGATTTTACTGTAGCTAATCCTCTCTCAACCCTCCCCCCTCCCAAAAAAAAATCTGGAATAAAATTTGGTAACTCAACTCTTACCTTCCTGTCAAATTTGGCAGCAAGCATCTCCAATCTTTCTTGCCTGTTCAAAAATAAAATCATATGCTTAATTACTTTACTGGTGAAAAAAAAATTTAATAACAATAATATTTAGCTAATAATGTTTTTTCATTTTCTCATAACATACAAACTAAATCACAAATAGCATACAAACCTCATCAGCTCTTCCCTAATAGCAAGTTCTCTCTCGTGCTCAGCCTTTTCAAGTCTTTCCCAGGCCTAGAAACACAAAAGAAAAAACAATTTTAGTGTCTTTTTCCCCATCTGGTTTCTATATCTACAATATTGTCTGAATACACTAGAATTAAAAACCATGTTGGGGCTAACTTGAATCATGTTACAATTAAGTAGTTTCTTATGAATAAAAAGGTGATGATAAGTGATAAGTGTTTGAATTTTATTTTGTAGTTTTTTAACTTTTCCCCTCTTTCTCAATAATTGCATTTTCTATTATCAATGTATCCTTTTTCTTTCCAACTTTTCTTTTTTTTTTCTCATATAATTTTTAATTATCTCATCATTATTAAATCAGAAAATATTTTTTCCAAGCCTAAAAACATGTAAAAAAATTACATGCATTTTATCTTTTTTTAAAATTTATTTTATTTTTTATGTCGGTATTATTCTCTTACCAGAATTATAATTATAATTTAATATTGATTAGAGAATTTAGAGAAACTGATAATGATGATGGTTATGTATTTCCATGGTTACTCACCCTATTTATTTCAACCATACTTCTTCCTTCAGGTGGTGTATACATCTTCTGATGATTGGCACGTAGCTTACTAGTCAAGATGAACAACTGCACTTCAAGGTTTCCTTTCTCCACAAACCTATCAATCATAGTAAAATAAGCCAATTAGCAAAGTTGTCAATCAATCACCAAAATTAATCAACCAATGGGATCTCAGATGCAAATTAGTTTAACAGGAACACAAGGGGTGTGGTGTTTGACAGTATGAGAGGAAAGTGAAATATCACATGATCAGAGGCATGCTGAAACAGGTTCTCATCTGGTGAGGATAAAATCCTTGGTGGAGACACTTCTTAAGATTATTTAACAGTAAGAAAGCAGTGAAAATATTCCAAAATTGTAAGCCATTAACTCCATAACAGATATAAAATGAAATGAAAGCACTTCTGGAATATGGAATTGGAAGTGAGCAAAGTCAAGAAGAAAAAAACGTAGGTAAGTGTTAACTTAATTATTTTGATCGCAGTGTTTCGTTTACCAGTAAAAATACTAATTATCTAACAGTGCAAACGAATAAGTAAAATTTAGTGTGGAATAGTTATCATTGGCTTTGTTTTATTGTATACCTTGGTGGTTTTTCCTGGGTTCGATACTGGTTAAACTCCAGCATTTGTTGTTGTACACCAACAAGAGTATTAGCAAAGTCTCTGTCGGCGAGCGTTTGGATTTTCATCTCAATCCATTCCAATAGATCAGTGGCTAGTTTTTCATACTCGTTTATGAGTTCCTCATTTTCTTTAATTCTTTCTATCACCTAAAAATTGATAGATAACACATTTTGAGTCAAATATACAAAATAGGTCATATGTCATAGATGTAACAATAACTAAAACAGAGGTATTTAGAACTATACGATTTTATTGATATCAAATGTCAATACTTTAATTTTTTCCACTTTTGTCATAAATGTTTTGAAATTTGGATCTGACAAATTAGGAAAAATTCCCAAGAAACTTCTTAGAAAATTTTTGACACATAGATCTTATAAAATGAAAGTAAAAGCTGTATATCATGGTAATCTCAGAATAACTTTTGATCAGATTAAGTCTTGTTAATCTTGCTGACAACCTGAACACTTAAAATACTTTATATGCTCACCTTTCCAATTCTTGTACCACAGACTTCTACAGTTTTCATCTTAGCAAAGTAGTGATAGTAAGCCGATACATATGTAATAATAGACTTTTCATCTGGGAAATCTACCATCACATCTGCAAATGAAAACATTACAACATCTCAAAATCAGAAATTTCTTTGAGAGCACTGTCTTATTTATACATATATATATATATATTATATATTGTGTTTCTCTTACCCTCTGCATCCAGGAGTGGTGTTATTCCAAGTTGTGTTTCAGCTACTTCAAAGGCTTGTTCTAAGTTTTGTTCCGCATCAGCCTTGTTGATCTTCTCATATTCTATCAAATCAGGCCTGAAATTTTTGGTTACGTATTAGATATCATTAGACACTAAACAATAGAAAACATACTCCTGTTATTACCAAATCCACAAATCCTTTATCCTGTTGGTATTTTGGGCTTGCACATCTAAATACTGGCGATAGCTTGTGCACCCGCTAGAGTGTTGTACACATCACCAACATTTAAATTTTCATGCCCAAATACCAACTACACATGTGCATGAACTGAAGAAATTCCTTCATCACAGGTAGAAATGTCTGTAAGAGTTTTTCAAATTTTAAGTCAGAGATAAAACAACTTGAGTATTATTATTAATCCTGACTTCAATCATAGTATATTTAGCGTAAGAAATAAGTTCTAATAGTTCACTGTATGTGATATAGATTATAGAGTAATGACATTATATACCTGTGTTTGTGGATAATTGCATTAAAGGCCAATCCATCTCTCCAACTGGTAGTGAAGTTCGTAACTGTAACATTGCGATAGCTAAAAATAGAACAATCAGACAAAATTAGGAAAAGTTGTATTTGACAATGTATTAAGATGATAACTAACAAAGTAGAGTGCAAACACTTAATCCAAAATAGTACTAAATCTATTTTGCAATAAATAGGGCAGTGTCTATTTTTATTATTGCTTCATCTGTGTTATTTAGCACTATTCAATGCTAGTTATATAATACTGTTTCAAGGATATATTTTGTTTTGTATATATGTAATGTTAAGAGATACAAAAAATAATGAAAAAAAAAAAATAATAATAATAATGATTAAAAAAATAAGGACTAGCCAAATTAGTTTTAGCTTGGTCAAAATGATCAGCAAAGGAAATCTATGACCGGACAAGTTCCAACTTTGGTTGGACAATGTCCGATGACCGTCTGTTATTTTGTTAATAATAATTATAATTTATTAGTAAACTCTTACCCAACAGTCTTTGACTGACACCAAAGTAACAGAGCATCTTTAGCAGATCTTCGTTCCTTGGTTTCACCCTCAATCATAATATCTTGGATCTGTAACCAAAAAAATAAACAATTAGATAAAACATTCTTAAAAGTTTTGTAGGAGATGAATTTTTGCATGGAAAACCTTATTGGTTTATAATTTTCATTGTTGATTACAGAACATTTTTGAAATGAGCTTTACAAATTTCTCTAAGAAGAGAGTATAATTTATTACATGTAATTCAACTTTGTTCTCTGTACATATATAAAGTATGTAATAGATACATGCCCTTAGCAAATCCATCACTGATGGTATCAAATACTCTACCTGGAATCGTAGGATGATTGTCCAGATCAGACCAAGTGTGATCTTTTGGTTGCCGTCGACAATATCATGAGCACCAATATTCTCAAGATGGACCTGAATAAGTAGAAAAAATGTTAGAAACTTTTTAAACTTTCAAACTCTACATGTACTGTTTTTTTTAATCCTGGAACATTTTGAAAACTGTTTAACAAACATTAAACACTGGGCTTAATTGGGGAATTTGTCTGGTCAAATCTTTGCATTACCGGTCATTTTGACCAGTAACATAAGCCAGAAACGATGTATGACAGAGTTAAAACTAATTGGTCTGGTCATCATGACTGGCACCTTAACTAATCATTATTTTAAGCCCTGCAACATAAGCTAGACTAGATTATGAACCAAAAGTTACTGCAAAAAGAAATTTGAATCAAAGATTCATTTTAATTTAATTATTACTTACCCTCTGTTTTTTCAGAAACACCAAACTTTTTTCCACATTTTCTAGGTTATGAATACGCATTCTTCCTTTGGACGGTTTAGGCTGCAACAAAACATTTAAAAACATTTTTAATCCCTTTTCCTACTGGATATATTAGAGTACATCTTAAATAAACATGGATGTTTTATTTTTTCCTTGTCAAGTGGCTCTTAAAATATAAAGTTTCATGCCAATCACAATTAAAAGGGTACTTAAGCTAAGAAGAATCATGCATAAGTCTCATTAAAGTTTAATGATGCAAAAGATCATAGAATACATCTTTTTCAAAAATATGGTTGAAATTTCTATGTCCTTATTATTTGTCAAAGGATATATATCTGAGTCCATCATCTTATCATACTTGACTATGAATGATAGTCATGCAGCCTGGGGCAACTTAGGTGTGCAATTTTAAGCACATTTTTAATGCATTGTTTATGACCAAGTATTTATAACAATAGTTTAAATAGCCGGCTAATGCATGACTAAAGAATGTGAAGCCCTTTCAGAGATTTCCCTGGATCAAGATAAGGGTTTCTTACCAGCTTCTCGCCAGATAAAATCTCTAACAGTAAAATAAGTTTTCGTCCATCTTGTAGATCATGGTAAAGGTCGTTGACCCTTGCTCCTACTCTTTGCAGATGGGAGTTAATCCACTTTGTGAAAGTCTTTTTCTGTACTCTTTCTCTTTCATCTGGTGAAACAAAAACAATTAGGATATTTAGTCTCACATTATAAACACCACATCAAGACAATATTAACATCAAGGAAGTATAAAAAAATATTTGTAACTTTTTGTTTTAAGTTGTCATCTTGTTTCTATTTCCTTTTAGACTTTTTGATAATAAGTAAGCTATTTCTTCTTAAAAAACTGTATTTTCTTTGTCTGGAATGCAGTGTGGAAGACAAAATAAAAGTGCATTACTAAGCTTTAGATACAATTGTAATATAGATACAAATGCATTACAAGCACTGCAGAAACCTTGCAAAAGACTGCATTGTCGTCAGTAGTGTCTGCCATGAATCATAAAGCATAACTTCTAAAGCATTTTTTTTCCAAAATATTACATGTACACCATAAACAGAGTAAACTGTAAACTATACAATGTCTTATGTTGACGTAAGACATAAATAAGATTTACAATAATAATATTATTTTTACTAAAAACGTTTGCTTAATATCTATTAGCATATAAAAAGGAAGTTGGTCAGCATAATTATTTACTTAGCTAGCTTCAATCTTTAAAATTTTTCTTTAGGGATATTGTTTTAAGTGGCTTAGGGAAGGCCACTTTGAGAACTACGGTATTTTATCAAAATATTTTGGGGAGTAATTTGGAAGGTGCTACGTGCTTTTGATATTGATTGATTATGAATTCAAAATCCCATGCTTGTGAGGTAGAAGATTCTAGACTCAGTTTATTAGATTAGAGATTATTACTGGCAAAATTCTCCAATTCCAGATTAACAGAACTCTATTTGAATGTCACCTATCGATAGTATCTGAAGTCTTGGAGGTTCAAATTTTATCTAAAAAGACAAATTTTCTTATAAAATATTACTAACCCCGCCCAAAATAAGAGGGAATAGTTTAGAAAGCATGTCTATACAAGTGGAACAGACGTGGAGTAACATAAACTTGAGCTTACCCTAAAATACATGGCTGATCGCGTTTAATTGAAAGAGTAATAAATATACCATTGCAGGCATTAACATTCCTGACATTTATTCCGGTTTATAGAATAAGTAATATATTTGATAAGAGGTTGTTGCGATCTGTCAAATGTGTACTTGGTTATATACGAGACATCAATCGACAAACCAAAATAAATAGCCAAACATTCAAGATCGAGACAAAAGAAACGCTTTTTCATGAGTAGACCGAGGAAAAATTACTAGGCAACAGTCCTTAGGAGTTTGATTTGTGATCGAGTTAATGGTAGAAAGACAATCATTAGAAGTATGAAAGCAATGGACACAGCAGAAACCACCACAAGAGATGACAAGACTTGTAAACATGCGAGCAAAACTATGAATATTTCACGAACATTTTAGTCATATACGCCAGAAATAACTGTTAGTGAAGGTTATATATAAAAAAAATATGAGAACAATGATAAAGCAATTGGATCTCTAAGGTTTTTTTGTACCTGCTAAGACTTTGATTCTTGATCTTTCAAAAAGTCTAGCTGAGCTTTGCTGCTCCATCCATTCTTCTTCGCTTCCATGGACTTGGCTGTAATCGGCAGTATTTTCACCCATTGTGCCCATAGAATCAATGAACGCCTGAGAATGTACAAATACACATTAGTCTTGAATCAAAAAGGGATCATAAATGCCTAATAAGTAACCCAACATGCAATGATCAAACGATTATTGGGGAGAACTTCACGAAAAAGTTGTTTCTGGTGCAACAGAGCACGCGATGACGATCCACATACTTCAAGATTTCTTAGTGTTAGAAGCCAATAAGGTCCGCATTTACTTAATTTTTCAATTGCAGTTTGTCAAACTTTTAAACCACAAAAAGTTGAGCCGAAGTAGAGTAGAAGATATCAAGTTTCTGGTGAGGTAATAGTCGAATAATAGCGGCGAAAGCCAGTACATGTAAGCTGGAAAGATCAAGTCATAAACGCGATCTAAATCAACCTACCGGCTTTTGATTGAATTTGACTGCTAGTAGAAGATGCTTCAGTTCCAACTGAAGGACTGAAGCCTTCTTTCAATCCCCAGAAATTCAAAATAAAGCTGGAATACTTTGGTCAAAACCAAAAGGTATTCAGACACAACAGCAAAATCTCTCCCTGCAAAAGGCTTCTCACATGCGCATAATAATCGGGGGTGACGCGCCCGCTTCAATAAACAACCAATCACAGCTCTCGTTATATCTAAACGGACCAATCACATCACATGATAGAAACCAAACCCTTGGTCCCGCCATGAATACATCAAAACCTCGAATCGTTTCGCGTGAGAACAGTGGACTCCTCCAGACATCCAAAAATAAATGCTTTTTGGCAGCTTTTGGTTATTCCTACCCCGCAAGCTCATCGACTAAAGTAGGTACTAATGTTTGCTGAGCTAATTGATGCATTTTTCTATCTAAATATGCTTTAGTTTTAGAGTGTTTACGTAGAGTTGTACAATCTTGAACTATTTGTGCATGATAACAAATTCTACAATAGCACAAACAATTTAGCTATTTCCTCAAATTTCTTTAAAATAATGAAAGAAAAGTTTTTTAAAAACATGCTTAACTTAATTAGCTACATTTAAAGTTAATATTAAGCATAGAAAAATGGCTGAGATAGCATGTTGTGCCGACCGAAAAAGTAAAGGTGTTCAACATTGGTAACGACATAATTTTTGTCACGCCTAATTTGTGACATGTTTTCTTTCTTCAAAAATATATTTTAAAACAAAATAATAGAATTTCGTATATTATATGTATGTTTGAACGTATTTCTTAACTTTTAAGGAGACCTATTCTAAAAGTCCTTAACTTTTAGATTTTTGAGAAATTTTTGGACACAATGATAACAGGTGCAATTATCTTTGAAAATTCCAAAAATCATCATCATCAGTTTGTTCTGTTATTGTCTGCTTCAAATATATTCTAAATAGGTAATCTGTTTTATTATGTTATGAAATTTTGTTGGCTTTTTTGGCCAAGTTGTTCAGAGCCAGATAACTTTTTGTTGTTGACTAATAACTCCTGCATAAAGGCATAAGTTGCATTTAAAATTAAACCTTTATTAACGTTTTATTAGGCACCTTCTACTTTAGGAACTATTAATTAAATTGAAACATAGGAGGAAAGGAACAAAAGAGGAGGAATATGATAATGGAACAGTGTTGAAAATAACTGAGGATAAATATTTGAAGTCCACCCCCTAACACCTTTACAAACACCACAGGAAATCCATTTTTCAAAACTTAACTCTTAGCAAATTATTGGGTGGGAAGAAAATTGAAGCTTTTTTAGGGGTACAAGGATAAAGATGCAATAAGCTGATGCTTTATAGTGTTCAGCTTTTATACATTTTTGAATGGCAGAAGTGAAAAACCAAATTCCAATGTGCAGAACACAACTACTGAGTTTGCATAAGAAATTCAAGAAAGTAGATATGTCCAAAGCCATTTCTTCAGTTCCAAAAAAAAATGCTCCATTTTGATATTCTTGGCTGAAACTATGAGAAAGAGAATCAATATTTTGTCTGTCACACATCAGAATGAATTATATTTGCTACTGAAATACAAGTAGAAGGCAGTCATATAACATGTATAGCATAAGATTTCATGGATAAAAGTTACAGGAAAAATAGTTTTAAAGAAAATTTGAAATTATTCCAGAAGTGTCTTTTTTTCATACTACATAGAAGTCAATGATTTCATGAAGAGTGTTCTGACTTAGTTTCACTTTCAGTTTGATATACTAGAAAAATGTGAAGCATTTAGTCTTTAGAATAAACAAATAAGTGCACAAAAGATAATATTTATAGATTAGTAAGTACATACACTGAAATATTCATTTGTACCTTCAATTTGGAGATGAAAGTGGTGAATTATTTCAAATATTCACAGATATTTCCATAAATTGCAGATGTAGAAAAACATGAACACTGCTAAAAGAGTAATGTGATTATGTAGCAAAACCAAAATAGAATGACATAATGATTGAAAGAACTCCATGAAGATCTTCTTAGAAAATTATATTTTTATTGACAATTCTTTCATATTGCTGTTTCACCCTATTGTGCCAATATTGACTAAAAGGTACCAAAACAGACAACGGTATGGTATTTGATTATATTGCACATTTTATACAATATTTATTGGATGAGGTTGAGTGTGATATTGTAAATTATCAAGACCAAGTTATCTGCCAAAGCCATAGGCTGAGGTGGATAAAATGGCTGAGGTCTTGATAATTTACAATATCAAGCGAAAACTAAATTCAATAATAAGCTTTATGTTACATTTTGTAAACTAAGAATATAGATGTAATTCTGCTTCAAAGAAATGAAAATTTTCAATCTCCATTATAACTTTGAATGAACTAGACATGATAAATGCAATATCTGCAGGAAAACCTACATATATTGCATTTATAATGTCAAGTTTATTCAAGGTTACAATGGATTGGCTGAGAGGCAAGATTGGGAGTAAAATGTATAATAAGGGATCGATATCAGTGTAATATTTCAATGTCAATGACGTGTGATGGTAAACTGGAAATTGTTATTGTATTAACACTAATTTAAACAAATATTAATTGTATTTCAAGTTAAGAGCCTGATATTTTTTTATTCACTCATTTTCAATACCATCCCACACTCACAATTTGATATAAAAAATTGTGAATAAAAATAATATCAAGCTCTTAACACATGATAATTTCTCTATATATAGTGAGCTAACCAATGTATATGCAATCAATTTGGAATGCAAAGAAAGTAGTCAGTTTGTCTAGCACAATTTCCTCAGGACCAAGTTTACCCTTGAATGAACATTCAAGCATAATATTATGTAAAAAGTATATATTTCAAAATACAAAGTTTTAAGGAGCTTAATCTTCCTACATTTTCTTCTTAATGCAAAAATATCAAGATTATTCTCAGAATGATTTTTTATTTGACTCTAAAAATTTCATCTCCCTTGATGTTGTCAATCTTAATTATTTCTTTTCTTGTTAAATAGTTTATCTATATTTTTTGCCATAAAGAGTTGTTTACTAGTTAGACATAATCAGATATGTCAATCTTACATTTCAAAATAATTCCTTGCAGTTTGTTTGTTCAAAACTCAAGCTAATATTTTAAAGAAATATACCAATGTTTATCTTAATCATTTTATATTTAGTTTATTGAATTCGCTGTTTCTTTCCACTGAGTGAACAGAATATTTTCCAAATAGATATTAAATGGGTGAAATCTAAATATTTCCCAAAAGCTAACCTTTCTTGTTTGCTTTTTGAATTAAATACCTTTTATTTAAGGAGAGAAAACCTCTTCTTAACAAAAAAATACCAGTCTTGAAAATCATCTTAAAAGAAAAATGTCTACATATTAAAGTATAAGTATTAGACAAAGAAGAGACTCGTTAAGGATGTTACCTGCAAGGTACAAAGTGAAGGTGTTACTACTCTATATTTCTAGCTTAGGAATTCCATGAAGCGGTTGATCCCTCTACCCTTCCTGTGTACAAGCAAAAGCCATATTGAACCAATAACTGCCAAAACAGATAAGTAGGTAATGTGCCACAAAAGGTAGAGGTAAACATTCAGAATCCAGTTGATGTGAAATATTCGATTTACTTTTACTTTCATTCTGTAAAACTTGATATTGGCTTTAACTACCTGCCACACTATTGAGTGAATCTGCTTGAATTACAATGCAATACTTTCTAAATGATTCTCTTTTTATTACAAATTTCAAAGACTTGGGAAATCAAATATTATTATAGTTAATATAAATTTTCTCAACGCGTATTTTTGAATTACAGAAACCATAACTGCAGTTGCTTTGTTATGCTTCTCTTTCAAAAAGATGATCCGTTGTACTATTGTCTAGCTCGATCTTATTCACATGGTAACTCCTGATTTTCTTGCACATATTATGACTTCAGTGAAGCACATGCCATTTCGTTTATCTCCCGATCAAAGAACCCAACTATTCAGTACGAGTCCTGAGGTTTTATAGCTATTCTAATCGTTGTCGAGAAAGCAAGAGAACTCTCTAAAAAGTGTTAGAGAAGGAGTTGTTTACACAGGACAGGTCTAGAGTACCGCGTGTTTTACACCAGACATGTGGGTTGTGATAGGAGAGCTCGGAGGAACCCTTTTTAACGTCGTGATCCGGAAAACCCATGTCGTGACACCTAGGAAAATGTACCACATGCAACATACAGGGAAATATTTACTGAAACCTACAGGCCTTGGCCCGATTTGATCGATCGTGTTCTGATGAGTATATTTCACTGTATGCTATGGTAATTCTATAGCATTAGCGATTTGCATACACGATCTCTTAATTTGACTAGTAAGTACTCTCATCTAAATTTCTTTTCTGGAAATTTCACTTGTGGATTGAGAGACTCAGTAATCCTGATTGGGATTGAGAAAATCGACTATTAAAATTACTGATGATGGAAGAATATTAGATTCGTTATAAAATATTTGGTTGATATCATCATCATTTTGCAAAGGGTCTTTATGCAGTTGCCATACGATTGTAGAGTAAATGTTAAACTTGTTGGTGGACGCTTTGCTTTGATTTCATTTTCATTTGCTAGAAAAATTAAGTACAGTACTAACTAAAGATGTATTGATGTATTTCAGAAACGAATCGAGATGTCAAGGAAATCAAGGCCCGCGCGATGATGATGGAAGAGAAAAAAAGACGTACCAAGTTCATTCATCGACAGTAGGTTTGATCACCTGAAAAGGAAGATTCATCGTGGCAAGATCGTGTGTCCATCAAAACTTGGTAACAATGGAAAGCAATAGAAGCCCAAAAAAGACTATCACCACACGGTAGCCGTGCGTTAAGCCAAAACCCTTATACATTGTGGAAATAAGGCAAAACAGGAAGATGGTTTCCTTTTGGGTTTGATAAATGTCAGTGAAATATTCGAAATGCGGTTGACTTCTTTGCAGGAAAATCGAACTTTGCGTACTCGATGATGACTCTTTTCACCTGAAATATCATTATTTTGAAACTAGAATAGTGGATCTATCCAAGAAGGAGTAATCGGAGTGGTAAGAGGCATGAAAAAAAACAAAAATCCTGTTCGATTTGAGCCCAATGTACTGGGGGCGTGTGGAGTGGTCGCCATAGCTCTTCATGTCCGTTTCACACCTCGCTTGTGCATGGAATTACTGTTCCACGCGACTGACTCACCAAAACGAAACCAAACAACTTCTGTCAATTGAAACTAGAATATATGGGGAGTATTCCACGGACTAGTACTCTTAGAATGTGCCTACATTGGAAATATAAGGCGTAGATATAGGAAGAACAAACATGGACTCACCCTCATAACATCAGCATCGCGGTCTTCCATATGCGTTGGTAAGCCTTCTAGTCGATGTCGACTTACTTCAAGCAAGTCTGTGGAAGGCCGATCAAGCGGATGCTTGACGTCGATTTCCACCGACATTGTGTCCTTTTCTGTTTGTCTCTTCGCTTGATTTTGAGGCGATTTACTCAACGAGCGAACGAGCTTCGAACGCAGCTAAGTTATCAGACAGAGATACGGTGAGACGCCCAAAACTGGGCACGACTTGATGATATTCCATCCGACTCTTTTCAGGGAAGTATTTATAATCAGCCGACCAATCACAGGCCAGTATTCATTGGGTTATGGGTAACACACACCTTTCTCCAGACCCTAGCGATTTCAAATGTATAAATTTTTAACTTCAAATGAATAAAATGATTTGGTGGGGAATAATATTGCATTTGCATCTAAATTTTTCAAAAATTTTCTGTTAAACCTTTAAGTGACCTCTAGCTGAGTTGATATAAACATTAACATAACAAAATATTAACTACAAAGGTCAAATTCCGCAAGGAACAATTATATTTAATTTTAATTTTTTATTATTAGCAAAGACCACTGGAATTGTTTTTTTTTTGGTGGGTTTCACTGGTTCAATAATAGCAGTGAGCTATATCTTGCTCTTATACTAATGGGCAACGTGAAAGGATGCTAGCCAATAATGATTTTTTCCGAGTGACATTGTCGTGTCATTTTGATAATTGCCATCACATTTGCATGATTTACGGGGAATTCAAAAAACTAATTCCGCTACTTTCTACTCCCATTGTATTCGTGTATTGACATGGATAATAATAAAAATGTTTAACATCTTAGATCTTCCCGTGGCTCCATAAAGGCGGATTTTTCTTCGAATTTACGTCAGATTTGCATTATTTACTGGGAATTCGAAAAACTAATCCCGCTATTTCCCCCTCCCGTGGTATTTTTGTATAATGACATGGAAAATAATAAAAATGTTGGGCATTTTAGATCTTCGCATGGCTCTAGAGACTCGGATTTTTCTTCGAATTTTCAGTTTCTTTCGCATCAATTTTAGTTACGCGTCATCATTCCTCTCACCATTTTTTGCGATTGGTTGTGGATAACCTTCGAACGCAGCTCGTGCTTGTTCGTTGGTCCAGATACTTTATTAGAACAGGCCAATGATTATGGTCAAACAGACCCTAAAGTGATCCAGGCAGTCAGGTGAATTAATGAAAGGGTGATTAATTGACTAGCTAATATTTTTGCCATTGTCTGTGTGCAAGCATTCGTGGAGTAGGACCTATTGATATGTAAACCAGAGGAGCATTTCTATAGATTCTTAAAAGACTATTTAATGAGAAACTTTGACACCTAGTGATTAGCTCTGTTATGCTGACATGTATAAAAGAATAGTTGCAGCAAAGACGCGGAGTCAAGATGCAGCGCCGTAGCCACGGACCAACTTTCGGGGAAAAATATAAGAAAAATAAAATAAAAAATGTAAGAAAAACCGAAAGCCCTCGAAAGCCGAACCAATCAGAAATTTGTGGCTACGGCCCTGAGATGATTATGTGCGTGATCTCTTAGAACGAATGCACCCTTTTAAAAATTGTCTTGAATGCGATGCTAACATATACGAAAGAAATCCCACAAGTTCCATCGAGGAAAAAGTGTGATTTCTTTTGTATCATATCATGTAGTCTCGCATCCATCACGATACTTTGAGAAGGATCAATTACCATAGATGATGGGGGCCGGGAATATCACTCCTCATCATTATCATTTTGCCCATCGCCGGAGACACGTACCTTTATTCAGATGAGGACACGTAACATTCCGGTCATTGACCAGTTGAAGTCAAACTACTATCTATCTATATGAGCGTCCATGTAGCGGCTAGTTATCGAAGACTGAAAGGAGGAAAACCTCAATAAGCGACCAACCTCTTTAGTGACCACTGAATATCTAGAAGGTGACCGCTTACTAGAAACTGAGTATACAGGTTTGGGTCGAGCTACTGTTTCGGACCGTCTGATCGGAACTAACAGGTGTAGATTATATATGTTGAAGTTACACAAGGTTTCCAGGCCTGTTTCATTTCAAGCAAAGGGTCAAAACCTGGCTTTTTCAACAAGCATTTTATTAGTAGTTTTATTCAGATATCTATGTTTTTACTTTTCAACAAACTTTAATAATCCTTATTATTATGTATAAAAGCCAATTAATGTTGAAAGTTATTTCAATCATTGATTCATAATTTTATGTAAAAAAGATGTCTATCAAATATGTATGTGTTTATAAAGTTGTTTCTAATTATTGTTTAAATATGTTAATGTAAACCACAACAAAATACCTATGTAGTTATATTTTTAATGTTTTTATCAGATCTTTTTGCAAAGCGTCGTTCAGAACCATGCCATGGGGATATTAGCGCTATATACATCATAATTTTTTATTATTATTATTATTATTATTATTATCATTATTATTATTTTCATAACACGAGGGAGAAATTACCATGGATCCTCAAATCTATGCAGATCCTTGATATGGCACAACCTTAGGGATGCACTATTGGATAATTAGGTAAAGGGAGGGGAGGGGGTTTCAGGAAGTCCGTTATTTAGTCGGAACTGGACCCACTATTTCTGTTTATGTTCGACCGTTCGGCTAAACTAGAATTGCGCGTGGTAAACAAACACGATTGTCAGAAAAGTAGGATTTATGTTGCACGATATTTGTGTAACAACCCCTGCAAGCAATTGTTTTGGTTGCTCGATATTTCGTTTTTGAAATCAGCCGGGTTGTGCGATATTTTTTTCTTAGGTGAAGTACAATCTTGATATCACTACTCTTGGGTGATTTACGCAGCCCCCCCCCCCCCCCCCCCCCCNCCCCCCCCCCATCAATTATCTAATGTTCTCGTCCCTTACTCCATAATTTAACTTTCAGTGTAGGCGTGGCTAAGGATGTGAGATAACATTCTTTACGAAGCTGTGCAGCAGTAACTTGTCTTGCCCCCAAAACCTGCGTCGCGACCTCGTATACTATAATCACCGACGGCACATGCAAAAAAACTATTATATTATAACTGTATGATTCAAAATCCATGTCCAAGTCGGATGATAATGGTCCATTCATGTCTAGATATACTGTATTTGCCATTCTGCTAAAAGATGCAATTGCATAAGAACGTACTATCGTAATGATTTTGATGAATCTCTTAGGAATCAGTTTAAGTTCATGTACTGATAGGCTTTATAATGCGATAAAGCAACAGTAAAGGAACAATTTCAAGTTACAAACATAGAGTAATGCATTCCCTAGCTTCGAATGGTCATGCAACTTAAAAATATCCACCAATCGCGTGCCTCAAATGGCTACGAAAAACAGGTGGCAGAGTGATGTACGTTAAACAACAAAATAAAGTCACTGTAAGGCGACTTTCAAATCCATGTCGCGTTACCAATGCTATACCAAGCTGTCCTGCTGACAGGAAGCATTTTATATAGCTTTTTCGATTTCGTTTTTAGCACAATTGCACTTGTCGTCATGCCTTGGTTGTTTGGGAACATGATGGATCAGTATTGGTCGGGTTCACGTTCAAGTCTGCGCGGTGAGTGACGCTTTATTTTTCATGCATTTTTGTGTTCTACCACTGGAATATCTTAGCGTTCTTGTATAATTAGTTTGTTATTACTTTGTATATATAATAATATAATGTCATGTAATTCGTTTTTTAACTGGGATTCCTCTGAAGTATTAAAGCTGATCCCACTAGCTTCAAACAGCTTAATCGGCTTAAAGAAATAATATAACCCAAATCAAGCTTAAGCAAAAAAAAAAAAATATATATATATATAAATTTACAAGATATTTCGACAACAACCATAAATGATACTCTAGGACTGCCTGGACATCAATTATAGGAATTAGTGCAAAAAGATGAACTTAGAAAACGGCAAAACTAGATATGGACTAAATGGGGCACCGATACTTTTGTTAACGAAAATGATTTTGAGTAAGGAATACCGTATATAGAGTTATTTCCGAGCCGTTAAGGCGAAAGTCAAGTATATATACACTATTATAAAATCAGTACCTGAAAAACTAGCACTTTTTTATCTAAGCATAACTCGGCAATCACAGAGGAACTCTCGAAGTATGATTTTGCTGTTTACCCTCCCCTCCCCTAACATTCATAGAATATTCTATCGTAATACTGAATGAGCAATTGTGCAACTTGCCCTCAACATTATTGCATTATTTTTTCCCGCAGCGCCACGTTACAATACTATATAATACAATAGCTTTATTTCACGAGGAAAACGCAATATTTCAGTAGTAAAGACAGCAACTTTCTATTTTACGGCCCTTTGCGCGGTGCGCACCACGTAATTATTTTCTCATCGTGTCTGTACGAATCTCTGATCTCTTAGTTCAGAAAAGTACACGTTTGCTTATCAGATGCAGTTCCAGAGCAGGGTGTTGTATTATCGCTATTGTATACCGCATTTATCCGTTTTCTTTCTATCGAGTGTGCACGCTCCGTGTTTTTTCCCCCTTCTTTTTCTTCTGCGGAGACGTGGATACAACTAAGAAAATTGGTCCATGCAGTTCTGGACGAGTCATGTCGATCCTAGATTTTCCAACAAAAACATAGTGAGCGCAGTGATATTAATGGGGAACACAGATCTTAGTGCTCTGTAAAGCTGCATCGTTGCTGCGAAACTAACCACGCGATTGGACGATAAGGGCGCACTTGTCTCTAATGTCTAGGAGTTGTCAGTCCTAGAATCACCTAACAAGCTAATGATTTAGCGCAAAAAAAAAAGAAAGAAAGAAAGAAAAACGTTAGACAAAGTTATCACTGAAGAATCATTACAATGATTCTGATCATAAATAGTCTTTAGTAAAGCCGCAAGTTATAGGAATGCACTATCTAGTTAATGCATATTAGGTCTTTTTCCTTCTTCTTCGCCTTCATTTTCTCCGCCCATCCATCATAGAGCTTTGATATTCCTTTCGTCCACACCTGCTCCGTGCGCTATTTGATAGATTTGACGACCGAGATTTACTGGGTACTACCGGAAGTAATTTCAACCCTCCAGCTGTCCCCTCGATCTGAAAACAAACAAAATTGAATATTAATAACAGCATAAAACCGGAAGTTGCTACCTGTGGTTCACTAGTCCTCAGGAGCATTGAATAGAGTGCTTGCATTTGTTTCTCGTGATTGATAATATGCTGGTTATTGAACTAATATCTCTCAACAACTACAAGATCAACTAGTAGATTAAGAAAATCGAAAAGGCAGTGAGCACTCCGTTCATGATGAGTCTAACTAAAGTGAAAAGGAGAAACAAAAAACCCGTGACACATGGTGTGAACATGGTCGATGTTAAGCGTTATTCGCTGCCCGTACCACAGCCCATTCAGTTCTCCGGTAAGTGAAAAAAACGATTGAGTGAAAATCAAGAAAATGATGCGGTGTCCCTAGATTTCACCGACAGCGTTTTACCGATTTTATGGTCGGTGTTTTTTCAATGGCAGATTTATGAAGAAGCGTTCAAAAATTAGTATGCAAACTATAAAGTCAAGTAAGCGTGTGGCGGACGTTATCGAAAACATAAGAGTTCTTTGGAGTCTTGTTACAATAAATACTCCGGGAAATACTAGCTATCGACTCACCCTCTACACTTGGATTTAATGATTATTCCGATCGCTCTCCAAGTTGGTTCAGTTTTCGACTAAACTAAAAAATTATCGAAAGCAGTAAGCATTAAAAATTCAAAGCTATATTCCATCAATTCATTACCAGTCATCCTTATTTTTTGCGACGTAAAAACATATGTTGACGCTCAGTTTGATCTTAAGTTTCAAATTAAACGGGCTGTGCGAAAAGAATAGTTCGAGTTGAACGAAAGCAATCGAGAAGATTTTTGGTGACGCAATGTAGAACTAAATAAAATGGAATAAAACATCGTCTCAAAAAGACTAAATTAATATAATGATTTGCTGTCATACGACAACAATAAGTATCAGACGAAAAAACGAAGTAATTTTATAAAATATCCTCTGAGTGTTCTGTACTATAATATATATATTATTTATTTATTTATTGTAACGTGCGTTTCGTTACGCGTCAGTATGGGAAAGTCTCCACGACAGATAGTGGAAATAAATTAATGTGATGAATGATAAGACAATCCACCCCTTATGCAACAGATGTGGTCTGTAAGGATTTTTTGAGATAATACAACCATAGAAGGGTACTTCAATACTATTCAGGACGATTATGGTTTTCGAGTTATTTTTTTTGAAACGGGGTTTGGGAAGGTCTTAGCCGCCAGTAGCATTTTAAATATCCCATTGATGCTACAGCTTAATCATCAAAACAGATTGCGTGTAAGCCCGACCTGTCTGGGTATAACCTGATGATATTGTTTCCTTTTGGCTGTTTATGACAAACAAAAGCGTTTTATATCAAATATTATGGGATATCAGGCGTCTGTCATCAGTTATGATCCCTTGTTGACTTTTTAGTATCAATAACTTTTCCAGCGACATATTTTAAGAAACACGTAATATTTGACTTCCGAATGTGGCCCTTGAAGAATGGATGACGTAATTTATTGGGGCTGGGTTTGGATGGGGATTTGCTAGGGGGGTGGGGTGGTTGGGGTAGGGTTGAGTAGTAATATACAGTAGAAAAATAGGGCATTTAAAAGTCTTTTTATTTATTTATTTTTTTTGCGTTTCATACTATCAGATTGCGAAATACGGTCCTTTGGGCGAGAAGGGAGGAAAGTTTTTAAAATACTTGACAATTATGTTGTCATTTTATAAGTCATGAAATACTGTACATCTCAATAAGCAATTTAAATATGCACATCTTTGAGTATCGTAAAAATCGCACTATTCATATATTCAAATTTTTGGGGGTGTATATAATATGTATATATTCGCGTTGCATTGTGGTCGTCGTCTTCCATCTTGGATCACGTGACCGTGGTATTTCTCTGCTTCCCTCCAGCGAACGTAAACACTTCTTGCCAACCTCACCCACTGAATGCCGGAAATTTCCTTCTTTTATTTCAGAACCAGTACCAAGATCTCGACCATTAAGTATGGCAGAGCCACCTGAGTCGTCTTTGCCTCCTATGGTTCTGGAAAAGCTTCGCGAATTGAACTCAGAGTTGGCCGAAGGTGAGTTGACCGCAGTAGACTTCTCTTTCGCTGTCAGCTCTGACGTCTAGAAGGAGCTCTGAAGTTTCGGATTTGGAATAGAAAATAACTCGAAGTCTAGAGTTTTATTTCTGTTCTTGAAGTCATTGTGGGTCGTAGTTTTTCTCTGACTACTTGCTGTTCAAGTAGGTTGGGTGTGAGAGAGTCAAAATTTGTCTAATCAGAATATTCATGGCTTTAAATTACACCGAATAATTTTAATTCGGTTTTTCCAGATATTCCCAGCTTTAACCCCTTGAAGAGTGTTGGGCTTTCGTTTTGTATTTTTGAGCTGGAGCTTCGAATATAATATGTTTTCTTATGAATGATTGCCCTTTCAAACTCAAGAAATGCCTGAAAAGGTATAAGAATGGGCCATTAAATATCCATGAAGCTTCAGTTCAATCACAATATTTCATGATCAACCATACGAGGTTATGGCCGTTTGTGACTTTTGATTTCTACAGCGAGGTTTTAAAAACTCTGTTTTCTAGCTTCTTAAATGATATGGCGATTCGCACCTTGCTTAAACCCCAGCGGGATGCATTTACTTGAAATAAATGTACTTCTGACAAAATACTGCAGTAAACAGAAGCTGTATAACTGGAGTCGATAGGTCCAGAATGATCGGCTTATTAAAGTTTTAAGTAGCACCCATCAATACCTGCAGAAAACCCTTCAATTGCGCTGTTTCTTTTTCTTTTAGTTATAATATCTTGATACTTTACTTCGTTTATTTGTATGATATTGCAATATTGCTTTAAAATCCGTGTTGTAGATTCTTTCTCTATTGAGATTTATTTAGGCACCAAATATCCGACTGTAAACACTGAGGTATTAACCTCTACTTGTTTTATTTAGCATATTTGATGCCTTTATCATCAACTTTTAGTATATATGTCCTTTATCTATTCATTGTATGATTATTTGATGCCTTTAGAGTAATTTAGATAATGCATATTCATTTGTTATTGTCAATAGAATTATTTATTAGTGAAACAAATTATCAGTTTGAGCATAAATGAGTTGTGCAATTCTATTGCCTAAGAATTTCATTCTGTTGTGAGTCATTTTGGAACCGTAACTATTATTATTCTGGATAGAGGCAAAATAAAATGTGCCGATGTTTTCTATTTTTCTTGTATAATGAAAATCATTTCTAGATGTATTTACGTGCTTTTTCTCCAAAATGTACAATTTTTACAAGCATATCCTTGATGTCTGTTTACAGCAACTATTTGCCTTTTTCAGGGCTGTTTTGTTCCTTAGCAAGATTTTTGCATGACTTTACTAATTGCTAATTATATTGCTGATAATTTGTGTTGTAATGGTGAGGACTTCCCATAGTGATAATACTGCAGTTTTCAACAAATACTTTGTGATATAATTCCCTCCTCCTTATTGCCCTTTTGACCCTCATGTGAAGACTGTTGAAAGTTACTTCCCATATATCTTTTTCGAGATTTTCACTTTGTTGTCGTGGACCATCATATTAATGTCATATTATCCTTAACAAATGTTTGTAATAACACATATAGAAATATGTGGACTTATGAAATTGATACTGATACTGATAAGTGATAGGATATATAATATCAAATTCCCGCATCTCATGGTAAAATTCTGCCATCCAACTCAAACACTGATACTTCTTGGAATTATTTATTGTCTTCTAAGCTTCTATATATGTTGTTCATATCTTTTTCTTTACATCCTGTTACCTTTAATGTTGAAATATATGAAAATGATTAATGAATGCTGAACACCATATAGGAAAAAGATGCTTAACTTTTCTGACTTTCTGGACCTTAGCCCTTCAGCAGGATTTTTACTATGACAAATGGCTGAACAATTGAAACATATATTCAGTAAAGTCAAGTGGCTTTTCCCTCTATGATGTTTATATTATGTTTTATCTTTGCATAATTGACACATTCCATTTTTGAAAGTTGTTTTATACTCCCTAGAAGTTTGGTGGTCTCTTATCTCACCATCCTTAAACATATAGCATATAATATATAACTTATGTTCACACTTGGTTTCTGAGCTGAGTATGATGCTCAAGAATACATGTACAAATTCTTGATGGGCACTAAGTATCCTTGCCAAGATTCAGGGATGGGTACTGCATACAATTAAGGTTGGCTCACACTTTGTTCCTGAGCACAGTGCTCTGGAGTACAGTTCTTACAACAAACATCAGGGAGATGGGTACTGTGCTCGAGGTTGGGACCTTAATAGTGTCCGAGTATCGTAACAGTTACTGTGAACATAATCATAGTTTTCATTTCTTCTTGACTAGTACAATACTCTGTTGCTCCAACACAAAAGAAATCCATTTTCATTGATCAACAATACATAGCATGGGTGGTGTTCACGGCTAACACGTTCTCTTTCACTGCTGTGAGTCCAATGGGTTGGGTAGCTGGTTCAAGCCCTGCGGTTGTCACATGTGAATTGAGTTTGTTTGATGTGTTGTTCTCTCCTATGCTGCGAGGGCTTTCTCCGGGTTTTCCAGTTTTCTCCCTCCATAAAAATCAACATGTGAGTTGAGCGTTTTGTGCTTAGAACATTTAATGTAGTGGTAATACGTGTGAGCGAAAAGTGTCCCCAATTAGTGTGAAAGCGCTAAAACGACTAGACACTTAAATAAAAGTGATTTATTTATTTATTTATTTTTCATACTTTGTCATTTTTAAAAGTCGCTTCTTATTTTTTAAAGATACATTTCTTTGCATATTTTTTTCCATAAAACATTTATTGGATTTGAATGTTATTTAATATTTTTGATATTAACCTAGATGATTTTGTAATACATTTAATAGAAAATATAAAGGAAAATAAAGATTGAAAATGTTTTAGTGTCATACTGATGTCAGTTTTTACTGACGTTCTTTTTCCCCTATATCCTCTATTTTTAATATTTTTATATAACGAAAAAATAAGAATATATTAGTATAAAGTTCTTACTGAATGATTTATTAAGATGATATTAAATGATCCATGTCATAATCTATTATGCCTCTCTTAACTTGTCATTTTAAATTTTCCACTTATTGGATATCATGCAACATTCCACAAGTTTTTTTATCACTAATGCTAAACAATTTATCATTAAATATAAATATCTAGAGGTTTAGTTAAATAGATAAAGACTGTATTTAATCTTGGTATTTGAATATTTAAGAAGCCTCATCTAGTTTCTTATGGATTTTTAAAAACCTATATTTAGATTATCATTAAAGTGACAATTAATGCTAATAATCAAATATTCTTACTCTATAAACCTAAAACATAACTACTGCTGTATACTTTCTGGAAGGAAAAACATTGCATTCCTCAGGATTAGACTCTTATTGTTTTTTTATATATTTTTGTTGAATATTTAATCAAATTTAAAAGTCATTTTTAGTTGTGGCAAACCCAATAAGAATCTTAATTTTTTTGATTAATTTTCTGTCAGCAATTGAATATTTCCTTTTTTGTAAATATGAAATTAAATTAGTCAATTTTCCAGTGGGTGGCAGCAGTATTTTTGGATCCCTAAAATCCTATTATAATTTTAAGCTATCGATTAATCTTCATGTTGTCAAATTTTCACTTTTTCTGTATAAGATTACATGATGATTTAATCCAATCCAAAAGCTTTTGTCTCCTTTGATATTCCTTATACTTAAAAAGTTGAAGCAAAGATAAAGTATGGCATTTTTAATCAAACAAATGAAGTTTATTATGACTAGCTGAGTGATTATGATAATTGATTGGTTATTCTTACCATGATTCATAATGGTTTTTTTTAAATTCTTTAATCAGGTGATATAACACGAAAGGGTTATGAGAAAAAGAAATCCCGCTTACTGGCTCCTTATACATCGAAAGGTAAGGAAATATAGATATATTCCTACAGAGATTATTGAATTAAGTCAGGGTGGGCATTTTTACAATATTTATTTAAACAAGCTTTTGGGTATATTATGTCGTCCAATATAATAATATTTTACAACTAGAAGGAGCGAACCTCTGGTTCAATTTGTAGTTTAGACTCAGCATGATATGTGACTAGGTATAGATCATCTGTCTGGGGCTCTATGCTTTCTTGTTTATGGGCTCTACAGGACCAAGCATGTTGAATTTAAATACTAGGTGTGAGTTGACCATACCCAGACAGAACACACAACCAAGACTGAAACATTCTTGTGCAATGTCACTAGAGAATTTAATGTGTTGCAATTATGTAATGATATTCAATCAATCAATCAACCAATCAACTTTATTGAAAGAGGGTGTGACACATAACAGTTTTCATTGAGAAATCTATGGCCCTCCATTTGTAAATTGAGTAGTTCCAGAAAGTATCCATACCCCACCCACGGAGGAAAATGGAAATTCTGGAAGGGAGGGGGTTTATAGAAAGAACAAAATTACAGAGTTTGTATGGACGGAAATTGTAAGTTCCTGGGGGGAGGGGGGTCCATTTACAAATTTCCTCAATGATGGTATATGTATATACATTTTTTTAAATTGCAATTCTGGACACCAGAGTGCATTTTATGCATATCATATTGTCCATTCATAGTTTTGATTAATTTATATCTTTTTTATTCACCCTGGTTAGAGTCCCAAGTTGTAACAACCAAGACGAGTGTATCATCAAGTACAGTTATAAAAGAACAATATTCATCTACTCCTAGTGAGTATATCAGTTTATTTATTTAGTACTTACTTACAAGTTTACTTCATCTTCTTCATCTTCCACTCATTCCAGTTCGTTATTTTTTTCTTATGTCATATGTTATTATGTCAATCAACTTAATAAATAAATCATGATAGTCACAGAGTTTCATTCTTGCACTTCATTTGTTTACTAGTCCATATACAAGCTGCACTTGTGGCACAAAGCCGAGCTAAGAGCACAGATGTGCCATCACCATATAAAAGACAGTCTTTGATGAAACAAAGCAATCGCAGATCATTCGAAAATGGACCTCCATCAAATGCTCAAGTTTACCGTTCCACCAGGAAAGGTAAATCAGGAGCTTACTTGTGCTCTGTTTATAAATGAATGACAAAAGAGCATGAAATGTGAATTAAGGTGTAGCAGTTGTAGTGCTCTTGCCTGCCAACTCTACCATCTTGGGTTTGATCCTTGTATGATCTCTCTATCACATGTATAGAATTTTTGGGTCTCACATTTGATTTTAGGATTTTTCTCTAGTTCCAAGCCCACCCACCCTGCTATATAAAGAACAACAAGTCTGTCTCCTTGTGTGAATCACATAATTATGGAAAGAGTGATATTTAAGAAATAAAACATTTTCCCCCTCATGCTTTGTTCAGTAGTATACTACATGGCATACTCTCAATAAATCGAGAGCACATCTATGACATCTAATTAATATTTGTTACACATTCTCATTTTATTTTTAATGTAATGTACTGAGAAGATTTTGTCCATTAATCTCAACAGATTCAGTATCGTCTCAGGATTCCTATAATTTACCAGTTGCTGATTACACCCCACCACCCTCTCCACCACTTGACAAAACATTAACAGAAGATTTCCCAGCCCCTCCTCCTGAAATAAGCAATGTTCGTTACAGTCAAGACAGCTCAGGGAGTGTAACAGTTATCACGGGTCCTCCTGATGTTACCAGGAAAGCCTCAGATACTAAAGCTCCAACCAGAGTAGCTCATGTTCAGTCTCTGAGAATTGCAGATGAAGGAAGTGAAGCAGCAGGTATGGTATAACGAAAAATACACAATAAGTCTAATTATAGAGTTCTGATTGATTTAGTATAAACAAAATATCAATATCATGTCTAAACGTGAAAGCCTCAAAAATACTGTAAACAAAATAGTATAGTGAGAGAGCCAGGGCAAAAGATAATGGCCAGGTTGACAATGTCTGGCCAAAATTGGCACTGTCCAGACTAAGCTATCTTGTCCAGACACATTGACTGACTCAGTCACATATTAATCAGTCCAATGTGGCCAGCCATCATGTCCAGCCATTGAGCAGTTATTATATTTAACCCTGAGAGTGATAAAATAACTGGGGTGGCTCGCCTCTCACCAGTGTGACCCAGGTTCGAGTCCCGCCGGACTCAGTGTCATATGTGATTAAAGTTGCTTGTTGGTTCTCTCCTGTGTTTTGAGGGTTTGAGAAGAGCCACTCTGTAGAATCCACTGTTAATCCTATTATTATTTATTTTTTATTATTAAATAATGTCTTATGTATATTTTCAGGGATGTACTAAAATGTAAAGTTTTGATTTTTTTGTATCCCGTAGTTGCCACAAGCAGAGTTTCATCAAAGATTCAACAACTATTAAACACATTAAAGGTTAATATCTACCACAGTATTAAACACAGTCTTAACCCATGCCATTGATTTAATCTTTGCCATTTGTATAGGTTAAAAGTGATGTTTTGGCTTTTGTTTTGTTTTAGCGGCCAAAAAAGAAGCCATTAGAAAACTTTTATAAGGATGATGATGATGACTTATTAGAAGGTATATTTATACGTCATATAAACCATGGATTAATCCAGAATGGTTTTTTTAAGCTAGAAAACTGTTACATAAATTTTTTCTGGTATATTTATTTATTTTATTGAATGGTCCATTATTGAAATTGCAATTCCATTATTAGGGATGCTCCAGAAGTTTCTTTGATCTTTATCCTATCATTGTTCAAGTAGTTAATGTTTCATTTTATTTGTTATGGTAGCAACAAAAGTAGACCCAAATGCTCCCAAACCAGAAGGTCAAGTATTAAAACCAGTGGTTGGAGAACAACTTGAGGTAAGTTATGTCAATAAAAGAAAATTATCAAACAAAAAAAAACACCATGTTCATCCAGACTATATTAAAGTAGAGTGCACGCACTAAACCCGTGAATGATATTTAGTACTAATTAGTAGTAATTCATACAGAATCCTTTGTTTCCTATTGTTTGATTATCACTATTTAGTACTAAAAATTAGTATTTGTTTCATGGGTTTAGTGCAAGCACTCTAAACTTAAGGACTCTTCATTATTTATAACAGTAATTTTAAAATGCTGGCATGTTTCTATGTGCATGTACTGTGATACAAACATGCTGGAAGCTGTAGAGCAAAAGAGAAGCAACCTTTTTATCAAGTGCAGTCTTCTACTACTGCATGGAATAAATGTTGGGCATTAAACAAGTTTATAATGAAACAATTACATTTTTCTAGGTTGCAAGTGAAGTTCCACGATGTTTAGAAGAAGCTGTAATGAAGTATGGATCAAATACAGCTAAACAGCCATGTTGTAGTGTTATTGATAGCCATGGAAAGACATCTGCTGTATTAACATATGGTGAGATACAGAGCTCTTTTATTCCAGTGTTCAACGTTACAACCTCTTATCTTGGATGTGACTGCACAAAATGTCTCTCTTGCCAAATTAATAGCCATCAAGTGGATGCATTGATAGTAAACTGTTATCAGATGATTATGATGACGGTGGCAGTTGTGAATGATGATGTTAGTGAATGATGATTATAATGATGGTGTTGAATGATGATGATCATGATGATTATGGTGATAAGTGATGTTGATGGTGTTGCTGGTGTTAAATGATGATGATGGTGATGACAATAGTGATGATGATGGTAGTGTTGGTGGTGATGATGGTGACAATGATGGTGGTTAATGATGGTGGTGCTGGTGTTGAATGATGGTGACGATGATGCTGGTGTTGAATGATGGTGATGATGATGGTGTTTAATGTTGGTGATAATGATGGTGGTGATGATGGCGATAATGATGGTGGTGTTGATGATGGTGATTATGGTGGTAAATGATGGTGATGATGATGGTGTTAAATGTTGGTGTAATGATGTTGGTGTTGATGGTGATGATGGTGGTAAATGATGGTGATGATGATGATAATGATGATGATGATGATACTGGTGTTGAATAAGGATGGTGGTTATGATTATGATTACGGTGATAATGCTGGCAGTAGTGACCATTGCTATTTCTAGTATTAGGAGCATTGCTTTTTTGGACAGATAAAACAATACAATAATATATTATATTATCTATGATTATTTTCATAGGTAAACTGATGTCAAGGTCCATGAAAGTTGCATTTGCATTGCTAAATAAAGTTGGTAGTCATAAAGAGGGAACGTCAATCATGGGTGGTGATAGGGTTAGTACTCTGCAGTTGATTGTTTTTTGAGATCAATTATTGACTATGAGGAAAGTGGACATTTATTTTTCAAATGTTGCCAGTCAATTGGGTAAGTAGTAATAGTGGGGGGGGGGGGGGGGGGTGTGCACATGATGGTGCTAAGCCTCTATAGGGATAACACTATTTAGTACCGTTTAGTGCTTATTATGTTGCATGGTTATAGTGTTAATGTACTCTAATAGTTACATCAATGGTATTGTTATTTGTTGTAGGTTGCTCTTGTCTATCAAGTAGATGACCCTATTGGATTTATAACAAGTTTCTATGGGTGTCTACTTGCTGGTGTTATTCCTGTACCTATAGAACCTCCATCGGCAAAAGATGTAAGTAAGCTTTGTTGGTGGATCTAGTGGTAGGATCTGGAGTTTGGGGGTTCTGGTACATTGTCCTTGAGAAAAATCAAGGGTGTGGTTTAGGGACAGTGTCTAGGTTTAAAATTGGGGGTAAATGATCTTTATAGAGACAGAACTAAAGCATGTTCCAGAGTTACAAGATGTAGGTTATTGTCCAAGAAACGATGGAAGGAAGGGTAGTGTAATTGTAAGGTACAGCTGGGTAGATTGCAGTGGAAAGAGTATAAGAAACCAAGGAAATAGTAGGTTGCGAGATAATTGGAGTACATGTAGGGTGTGATAAAGTATGATAAGCCATGGTAGGGTAGAATAGGTTACTACATAATAGGGTTATGGTGTGGTAGGATACAGTTAGGAGGTATAGTAGGATTGGATATATAGCATAGGTCATAGGTCCTTTAGTTATGGATACATGTAGTTTGAAAAGCCACTACTCATTTTTCTTCCTTCTCTGTTTCAAAAAAGATATCCAGAAATTGCTTTACTTGAAAATCATTTCTTATTACAAGTCTCACAAAAAGAATAGCTAATTATAATTATAATGTAGTTATACATACATACCTTATTGAGCAACATAATACAAATTATAATTATACATTGAATATTTATAACAAATTAACATATTTACTGTAATAATGATTAATTTTAATTATTATAAATAAATAAATAAAAATAAAATAAAAAATAAATGGGATTTAGCAGTGGCATTTCTACAGAGTAGCTATTCATCCACTGTAAATTCCAATTGGAATTTAGGAGTTCATTTTTACAAGCTTACACAGAATGCTGGCACATCAATGTAAAAATAGCTTTCTGGTTCCTAATTTAGTATACTTAGAGATAGAACTTTCACTTCCCTAATATCCAGGAAATGCATCATCTATCAGCATCAGCATTAGTCAGTAAAAGACCCTTCAGGTCATGTTGACAAGGAAGTAAAAGGTATTATTTTTATTCTTGTAGTATCCTGGATGTCAACAGATAGGGTTCCTATTAGGAAGCTGTGGAGTGTCATGGGCTCTGACAACTGAAGCTTGTCTTAAAAGCCTTCCTAAATATGATTCAGGGCATGTTTGTAACTTCAAAGGTAAATATTTAGAATGCAGTCATTTTCTTATTTAAAAATCTGAGCAAACTCTTAATATTGGTTCATCATCAAGCTGCATCTAAGTCAGCTGCGGCCAACTCACATTTAATGAGCTGCATAGAACATTCCATTAGTGTAATATTAATTATTGTTGTGTAACTTCCAAGGAATAAATTACCTCATTATACAAGAAATGTACTAAAAAAAATTTAAATCATGATTGAAACACGAACATCATTTCTGCAATTCTCAATATTCTTCAAACTCAGACATTTCAACTGCTTGTCGTGAAATTGGTTTTCCTCTGCCGTCAATCAAAATAGTCAGTCAGTACCTTTTACCTTTTTGACTGACAGCAGTGAAGAACTAAATTCCAACAGGCAACTCACAACTACTGAATAGTGATGCAAAAATGACATCACTGCAAGACTAGGCTGCAATGAAGCTTGACAAAATTGGCCAGCAAAATATAAAATCATGCCTGCCATTGCAATAAAAACATAAAACTCAATAATTATAATGTGTCACTGTTATCAAACTCTTATAAGCAACAAATTATTTTCATTTGTTGGCCTGTAAATCCATAATTTTGAGAAGGAAATTGACACCTCGGTTTTGCAAATTTTCTTGATTCTGATTGACTAGTATTCTTTCTCGGATCAGCTGCGAATGATGATGTGCTATCTTTAGAGCAGTTCCTATGTTTCTGTGACCCACACAGCTCCATGTACAACATGATTTCAGTTTTAATAGTGTTGGTGGAAGTCAAAAGCCCAGATTTCTTCATACTAGTGAAGCTACAGAAACTCAAAAACAAGCCTATAATCACTGCTTGCAATTCTGATTTGTCCATGCAATCATGAAACCAGGTCAACAAGTTTGTTAGCTAAAACCCTAAAAATACTGGTAGTTTCTGTTGAAAGGGTCATCGTTTCATACCTTATTAATCTTGTGGGGGTATTTAATTAAAAGTATAAATACTTTCAATTAGGTTGGCCTAAAGTACAATGGTTCATAACAGAAAACCTTGGTAGACCAACACCAAAAGACTGGCAACCACCAACCAATCTGGACAGGAGTTCTCCTGCATACATAGAAGTATGTATATTTTGTATAGTTCCTATTTTATAGTGGAAATGTAGTAATGTAGCAGGGGCCATGGAGCACCCCAAAAAGTAGGATTTCTTGTAGTTCTTATAAATTTACAGCTTTTTAAAAGAGCATGTATTAATTAGACTGTTGTCAGTCCAGGATTAAAGATTTACTACTACTACAAACACAACCACTACTGATGTTACTGCTGCTGTAACTACAACCACCACTGAACATGACAATGTTTATCAGTGATAAAATTTGTCTTCCTGATTGTTTGTGGCTTAGGATTTTTTCCAAGCAATATTTTGCTCATTCAATTTGTTTGTTTTCCAGTCAGTGCTTGGTAAAGATGGTGCTGTCTTGGGAGTGACTGTTACTAGAATGAGCATGGCTTTGCACAGTCAGACACTGACACAGGCTTGTGATTATTCTGAAGGTAACTTAGAGAACCTTAGAGTCTCTGCTAGATATTAGATCATTATATCAAGGCATGGATGGGGATTCTGATATTAAGATATTATAAATATATTAAAATATATATAGCATTATAATGTTGATACTGTTACATCTGCTACTATTGCTGCTGCTGGTGATGGTGATGGTGCAGCAATGGTGATAGTGATGGTGACAGTGACGGTGATGGTGATGGCTTTGATGATGGTGATGGCGGTGATGATGGTGATGGCGGTGATGATGGTGATGGCGATGGTCATGATGGTGATGGTGATGGATGTAGACTGGTGGCTAATTAACTGTGTTGCACAAAATTAGAGCCTTTTTATTACAGCTTCATTTGATAGTGTTGGACATTTCTGGGAGAGTTGATGATGATGATACCAATGTTGATTAATGATGAAGAGAATCAAGTTGGTAATAGTTAATAGTTATGCCAGTGGTGATAATGATCATAAATGACGATTTAATGTTGTTGATGATGGCTGACAATGATAATAATTATTGTAGAATTTTTATTTTATTTCATCATTTATTTATTTGTTTTAATTATAGGTGAAATCATGATAAGTGTTCTTGACCCAAAACGAGAAGTTGGATTATGGCATTCTGTTATGGCTGTATGTACTCAATAGTAACATTGATTCTTCGAATCTTCATAGAATTCATCTGTAAATTATTATCTTTTCCATGTGACTAACAGCTGGCTATTCAATTGCATTTTAGTCTGTGCTGAATGGAATGCATGTCATCTATGTTCCACCATCAATTCTCAAGAATTCCCCAGCAATGTGGCTTCAAATGGTCACCAAATACAGAGGTAAAAAGTACTTAAATTTTTTCAGTTCAAGGGTAGGATATCTTTTCAAATATATTTTCCATTACTGTGGCTATTGCCGAAGAGGCAAAATATGAGGGCCTTATGCCTCATATTATGTGACCAGGTGGGGAGTTTTTCTCCTGCTTATTAGAAATTTCTTCAACAAAATAAACACAAAAAAGAAAAAAAATTGAGCTTGATGTGGGGCAACAAAACAGACAATAGTTAGGTTAAGCTTTTATAATGAAATGATATTCCAAAAACCTTAAGATAAATTTTGTTTTAAAAAAATTTTTTTTAATTGTTTTGATACAGCAACCTGTGCTCTGGTGAGTTCTCGTGACCTGCACTGGTCCTTACATGCCAGTAAAGATGTCAAGGATATCAATCTTTCTTCAATCAGGATGTTATTATTGGCTGACAGGGCTAATCCATGTAAGTTGCTTTACCTATTGGTTGTATCATGTATATTTTACAATCATCACATCACATACACACTGATAAGTATGTATTGTTTTAATGCTTGGCTACATCACCTCCTTCAGTGGTAAAATCACCAAGTGTAAAAGCAAAATAAATAATGGATAATATTTGAAAAGGTGTGAAAATTGCCCAAAATCAATCAAAACCATGGCCTATAGCCCATGCTTTTTTGGCCGAAAATAGCCAAAAAATCCAAAATCGATCAAAAACATGGGCTATAGTCCATCATTATCAGCAAAATGATGGTATGGGTCAGGTAGCTGGGATAGTTGCTCATGCCACACCTTTAGGGTGTTGGTTTAATGAGGCAGCGGCAGCTTTGGAGTCTTATTCTTTAAAATTAAACCATGCAAACCAGCAAAGAAAATGACAATAGCTTGAGGAGTGAAGTATAGTATTAATTGCATAATTATTTAATAATGCTGACCCAATTTTCATTTCAGGGTCCTTATCTGCCTGTGATGCTTTCCTCAATGCATTTGAGAGCAAAGGCCTAATCCCAGAGTCACTTTGTCCATGTGCAAGTTCTTCAGAAACAATGACTGTCTCCTTGAGAAGGTGAGCATCTTGTAAATGTATCAAGCAATATCATTCTTTTCTTGGTCTCCTGCTATCCTTTTGCCTTTATACCCTTGTCATATTATGTTTATATTATGATTGGATCTCATCACTAATAATAATAAACCTTTATTTATTTGTTTATTTGTTCATTTGTTCATTTATTTATTTATCTATTTATTTATCTATTTATTCATTCATTTATTTATTCATTCATTCATTTATTTATTCATTTACTCATTTATTTATTTATTTTATTTCTATTTCACTAATTTCACTATTTGCCCTAAATATCACTAAATATTTATTTGTATCAAATGTTCTTCCCTTTCAGACCTTGCAAGCCAGGTTCAACAGCAACTGGTCGTGGTGTGCTGTCTCTGTCAGGGCTAAGTCATGGTGTTGTGCGGGTAGACAAGGAGGGTTCTCTGACTTCACTGACTCTTCAGGATTGTGGTACTGTCTTGCCTGGAGGTAAATCATTTTTTTGGTTAACATTAACTGTGAACCTTTTTCAAACTGAGTTAGGACCTTTCTTCTGGTGACAAAATATTTCATCATTTTACACAATACAGTGAAACCCCTCTATACCGGACCCTCAGTATACCAGAATTCTCTCTAAACCAGACAAAAGTTTTGGTCCGGAAATTTTTCCCATATATCTTTTGTAAAATAAACCTCAGTAAACCGGAACCTCTCTATTCCGGAAACCGGACGAAAATTTTGGTACCAAACGCTATTTAACAATAGAATTCAACCCCACTAGTCCGGAAGAACGTACACTTGTTTCAGAACTACTGTCACTAGCGTATTTGCGGGTGTGTAAATTGAGTCTACAGGGACAGCTTCTAAACTCACAAATTCATCGAACATTTTCTTTAAATAGTAAATCTTGTTCACAAATAGACATATAAAGGCTAATTAATTGTTTTCAATATATAAATGTTCAAACAGAATGCATAAGGAAGGTTTAATAGTGTTGAGAAATACTAAAGATCGAATGGTTTGCGAAGTTGTGGCCGCCATGTTTTTTCATGTCACATGGCTTTGGGGTCATTCCCAGCCATTCCCAGTCCATTTTACCAGGGATTTTGTTCAGATCGTATTTAGAATGTTTCTTCTTGGCGTTCTTTTGAAATAAAAGTTAAGAAATTTGCTTAGTTTTTGATCTTAATGTTGATATTTTTACTTGAACTTTCGTTTACGTGTTTGTTTATACTGACGCCAAACGATTAGACACAAACATATTTTCAATAGGTGTGATATCGCACCTATTCAAATCAAAAACAAAAGTAATTTGCAAAAAATCTCAGTATACCGGAACCCCCACTAAACCGGAAATTTTTATAGGTCCCAGCACTGTCCGGTATAGAGGGGTTTTACTGTAGCATAAGGAGCTGGACGGCAAACATCCAATCCTAAAACTCTGGTTTCTGATTTATGGTGATATTAGACAAGAAAATGGAAGTGTTTGAGAAAGTCCCCCCTTCCCCCTCCCCAGGTTCATTACAAACTTCTAACTGCCATGATTCATTGACATATGAATGTTCTTGTTATTTCCAGCTCGCATTGCTGTGATAAAGCTGGAAGGTTCTCCTTGTCTGTGTAAAAGTGATGAGGTGGGGGAGCTATGTATATCAAGTGGTTCTACAGGGAGTGCCTACTGGGGGCTTGCTGGAAAAACAAACCACACATATAAGGTAACTAACCATTTAGAGCAAAGAAAGAACCTTATGAATGTGATAACTAACACTAATCACAATGATAAGATAGACCCTTTGCCACTTGCCAAAATGGTAACCGAAAATTCAGAGCAAACTAAAAGCCTATAGACCCTTTGCATGTGATGTCAAAGAAGCTCAATTTGGAGAACAAAACAAAAGAATTTCAATCTCCTGAGAATTGGAAATCTATTATCATGTCCTCCAAATTGAACTGCATTCCGACGTGCTGCGAGGGGTTTATACAAGTACTAGAAAGAGCACCTAATTTACTTTACTAGCCTACAAACATTATATCGGCTTAGAATCCTTAAGTTGAAAATAGACATATTTCCAGATGTCTGTATGACTGGGGTATATGGTTGGTTTTCAGGTGCAACCACATACTGAAGATGGTATACCTATCGATCCTTACATGCAACATGGTGACTTTGTGAGAACTGGTCTTCTTGGTTTCATGGGTCCAGTAAGTACATCATTTTACAGAACTATCATGGTATGACAAGCCATGACATCAAAATCACTTGTCAGTCTTTTCTTCAATCTTCGAAGTGCATAGTTGCTAGCCTCAGTTGCAGTTACAGTAAATTACAGTGCAACTACGCCATGACTACAGATATTTTTCGCACCTTTTTTTATCAGGCAGAGGGTGATGGGATTTGGTGGGGGGTCATTAAAAAAATTAGGCTCAAGAGGGGAGGGCACGCAAAAGACGCACAACAGTTTTACAATAAACAGAATGGAAAATGAGGGATGGGCCATTTCCTAATGCAACAACAGAGAGGAGTAGTTTGTAGGGGGAGATTGTTATCGGTTAACTAATAGTATTGTTTCCCCCCCCTGTAGGGTGGTCTTGTGTTTGTATGTGGTACAGTAGATGGTCTTCTCAAGGTCGGTGGCAGAAGACATAACTGTGATGATCTAAAGGCTACAATACTTGCTGTGGATCCAATCAAGTTTGTATACAGAGGGCGAATTGCTATATTCTCTATCCATGTTCTCAAGGATGATAGGATAGTCGTGGTGGCTGAACAGAGACCAAACTGCACTGAAGAAGAGGTTTGTGTACATCCATTTATCATTTATGTTAATAACTGATGGTGATGATTTTGTCAATAATACCAGTAGTAGTGATTTAGATGGTCTTTATGTTTATCATGCATGGTAGAGTGTTGGCTAATAAATAAAAAAATTGTGATAGTAAAGATGAAGATGCTGAATATCTGATAATGATAACCATTTTGTCATTAATAGTAATTAAGTGGCAGGCTATAATGATGGTCATGTTATATGATAATGATGATGATAAATCTGGCAATATGCAAGTGTTGTCTGTAGTTATTATATGCTGTATGACTCTGAGGGCTGTTGTTGATAATGATGGCAAGGGCGGATCCAGGGTTTTTTGAAGGGGGGGTCTCAGGGGTAAATTCCGTAGGCAAAGGAATCCCAGTCGCATTTTTACCACAGGAAGCCCATTTGACCTCAGGAATGACAGGGGGGTCGCGACCCCCCCGACCCTCCCCCTGGATCCGCCCTTGGATGGCATTGCAAAGCTCTTATCGTTGATGACATTTCTAGAATAATAACATTGACTAATTCTTCATCCCTTTATCCCAGAGTTTCCAATGGATGAGTCACGTGTTACCTGCAGTCGACAGCATCCACAACGTGAGTATCATCAAGTATATTCATCACATTTACCATCATTAATATTACCTGTGTTAGTATAATGCTCATCTGGGTCATACATTCCTCAACCTATATAATATTTTGTTTAACTTATTTGTTTGTTTGTAGGTTGGTGTTTATTGTCTTTGTTTAGTGGCTCCTGGAGGATTACCCAAGGTTGGTCCACATAGTTTTTAAATGCTTTTAAAAGCTTATTTACTTCTATTAGATGAGGATTCCTTATTTTCTTTCTTCATGAATACACCTCTTAAGCTTGAACATGTTAAGAGTTTGGGGATCGATTTCTTTTCATAAAGCTTGGGTGTGTTGTTTTCCCATTTAACACCACGTGTCATTTCTTTGAGATTCTTTGTTTGTGTGAAATTCATGTGTCTTCTCATGCACAGCCATTAAACAAAGAAATGATAATCAAGGGAATGACATGTGGTTTGAAATGGGAAAACATTAAGCATGTCCAAGCTAAAGAGGGTTATTGCATCCATATTTATTTAGTGTATCTTTACAATCGTTTTTCATAAGAAAAGAAATTATTTTCAAGGAAGAAAAAAACATGTTATGAACAGGGAAAAAATTTTGTTTATTTTTTTTTTCCACAGACGACATCGGGTTCTGTACACATCCATGAGACAACTCAGAAGTTCCTAGATGGATCACTTCATCCTGTTAATATTCTGATGTGCCCACATACATGTGTGACTAATTTACCACAGCCCAGGCAGAAACATCCAGGTTTGTAAAGTCCTTTAGAAGTGTTATCCTTTCCTTCAGCTTAATTGATGCATCGAGATCTTTTCTTTGCATTCCATTTTATACATGCATGTGTGTTATCGTTATATCATTATATTTCTTTCTATTTGTTTTCCTTGTATTCTTCTCTTCTCTTCTCTTCTCTTCTCTTCTCTTCT